GAATCTTGCTAACTCCCTCAATGATATACTTTTTAACTGTTTTATTATACTGATACAAATAGAGGATTACGAATGGCGGGCAATTAGCCTCAAGACTATCGCACGAGGAATTAGTCCATTAACATATTAGACAGATACAAAGGTGAAATCTAGAGGATTACGGATATCTGGAGAATTAGTTTCTGAAGCAGGGATAAGCTCATTAAACTAATGCATGGGGAATTAGTCAATTCACTGAGAAGGGAATTATTCATATTTTCCTGCCTTTCTTTTATATAGGAAAAAATCAGTAGTGGTATAACAAGAGGTCCATGGGCCACATCGCTCACCTGAGCACTAAGGGTAGGAAAAAGTAGAAAATGGCTTTTATTGTAAATTTAAATCCAAAATGAGTCCCATAACCAATCATGGATTTGCTATTTTTTAAAAATGATTTTTAAAGAATTTTCCTATACATATCGTTAAAAATTTCCGTTGGCCATTTTGGCCCCACCCTACCCATGGGGTCTTGATTTGAACAAATTTAAATCTAAACTACTTGGGCATGCTTCCATATAAATATGATGAATTCTGGCTTTGCCATTCTTGAGAAGAAGATTTTTAAAGAATTTTCCTACGTATTTCTATGTAAAACTTTGGCCAGCCATTTTGGCCCTTCCCTACCCCCGGGGGTCATGATTTGAACAAACTTGAATCTACACTAGCTGAGCATGCTTCCATATAAATATGATGAATTATGGCTTTGCCATTCTTGAGAAGAAGATTTTTAAAGAATTTTCCTATATGTTTATGTAAAACTTTGGTCGGCCATTTTGGCCCCGCCCTACCCCCAGGGGTCATGATTTGAATAAACTTGAATCTACACTACATCAGCATGCTTCCATATAAATATGATGAATTATGGCTTTGCCATTCTTGAGAAGAAGATATTTAAAGAATTTTCATATATATTTCTATATATCATATACCTAGTAGTGTATCAGCCCTGATACAGGCGTTTTGGACTTGGCGATACAGCGCTTTGGAAGTAGGGCTGTCTCGCCCTCAAGGCTGAGATATCTCTGTCTCGGCCCGTCGTCAAGGGGCTGTCTCGCCCTCAAATTTCAAATCATTATTTCTGTTTAATTTGTGTGAAATAAGAGTAAAATTCATATTTAAGCATTAAAGAGAAACATTATTTATCGAAAAAATTAACCAGAATTTTTAAAAAATATTAATTCATATTAGAATTTTGAGAAAATTGTTTTTAAAAAGTGCGCCAAATGATAGCACTTGTGACGTAAGAGAGGTAACTTTTGTTTACTTCTAGGACGGCAACAAGTCATGTTTTCAAAACAATGGACGTTTATTTGCTTTGACAGTATAAAGGCAATACCAAGTTTTCATTTAATGTGCAATTTTCGATTAAATATATATTGTAAACAAAAGAAATATTTACTATAAATCTCAGGTTTACAAATTGTAACGATTCGTTGACGAAGTTGTAACCCCGGTTCGATCCAAAGTGAAAGTAGAATATTTTTAAGTTTGGGACCTTTTAAATCTTTGTTATCTAATATGCTTCAAAATGAAATGTTTCAAAACACCAGGACTATTCTTTTTAATGACCAGACCAGGCAAATCTATCTCATTTGATTATTCACCGTCAAGCAACATCTCCAGGAACATCGAAATAAAGAAAGATAACTCTACCGCCCTACCCCCGGGGGTCATGATTTGTACAAACTTGAATCTTCATTACCTGAGCATGCATCCATATAAATATGATGAATTCTGGCTTTGCCATTCTTGAGAAGAAGATTTTTAAATAATTTTCCTACGTATTTCTATGTAAAACTTTGGCCAGCCATTAAGGCCCTTCCCTACCCCCGGGGGTCATTATTTGAACAAACTTGAATCTACACTAGCTGAGAATGCTTCCATATAAATATCCCAACTATATTAATATCAATCATGACTTTGTTATTCTTGAGAAGATTTTTAAAGAATTTTCCTATATATTTCTATGTTAAACTTTGGTCAGCCATTTTGGCCCCGCCCTACCCATGGGGTCTTGATTTGAACAAACTTGAATCTTCACTACCTGAGCATGCTTCCATATAAATATGATGAATTATGGCTTTGCCATTCTTGAAAAGAAGATTTTTAAAGAATTTTCATATATATTTCTATGTAAAACTTTGGTTGGCTATTTTGGCCCCGCCCTACCCCCAGGGGTCATTATTTGAACAAACTTGAATCTATACTATCTGAGCATGCTTCCATATAAATATGATGAATTATGGCTTTGTCATTCTTGAGAAGAAGATTTCTAAAGAATTTTCATATATATTTCTATGTAAAACTTTGGTCGGCCATTTTGGCCCCACCCTACATTGTACCCCCGGGGGCCATGATTTGAACAAACTTGAATCTACACTACCTGAGCATGCTTCCATATAAATATGAGGAATTATGGCTTTGTCATTCTTGAGAAGAAGATTTTTAAAGAATTTTCCTAAACTTTGGTTGGCCCGTAATTTAGGCCCTGCCCTACCCCTGGGGGTCATGAATTGAACAAACTTGAATCTACACTACCTGAGGATGTTTCCCCATAAGTTTATGTTTCCTGGCACAGTGGTTCTTGAGAAGAAGATTTTTAAAATATGCCACCAAATTTTCATTAATTCCCAATTTTCTCCTCTTGAATGAGGCCGTGGCCCTTCATTTGAACAAACTTGAATCCCCTTCACCCAAGGATACTTTGTGGCAAGTTTGTTGAAATTGGCCCAGTGGTTCTTGAGAAGAAGTCGAAAATGTGAAAAGTTTACAGACAGACAGACAGCTAGACAGACAGACGGACGCCCGACAAAATGTGATCAGAAAAGCTCACTTGAGCTTTCAGCTCAGGTGAGCTAATAAAAAGATTTATGAAACACCTATTTGATCACAGATCTTGAGGACAGGACATCTCCATCTTAATTAAAGGTCAAAGTGACCTTGTTTTAATGTATGACACCCCTTCTACCCAAGATGTATCAATTGACAAAGTTTGATAATTCTTGACCTGATAGTATGCAAGTTATGAGCCGGTGTCACATAATAAACGTTCCGGGTAACTTAGCGTTCTGGCCGGAACTTAAATAGTTACCTATAATATTGATTCCAGGCCATAATAAATGTTCCACTCAACATAAGTTTTGTTCCGGCCATAATAAACGTTCTGGGCATGCAGGCACCGTATTAAACTCTTTATTTATACATGTAATTAATATTGCCTATTAATTTTAATTTTCTTCTTTCTCTAATACCTTCGTATATGATACAGCAGGATTTAAACCGGCGTAAGACATACATATGTTTACATTTTATGTCAGAATATGTGGTCTTTTTAACAGAGACATTCATATTTATTGATGTCTTTGATTTGAATATTATATTAATCCATTTGATTTGAATATTATATTAATTCATGAAATTCCAGCTGATAATTTTGATTCTTTGTAAACAAAAGAAAGTGGGAAACTTGTTTCCATTGATATGCCCCATCATGCTGTTTTACGACACCCTAGCTTGCCTTTGGTTCTATCGATACAAATAATTTCGCAGTCATGCGAATCGCCGTAAGCAAACATGACCACCCTGATCAGATGATAATGGTGATAGATCATTTATATTTATGATAAAAAACTTATTGGGTAATATTTTAATTACCTTGCACCCATAGTTGCGTTCTTGTAAAACCAACTATATTAATGAATTTACATAAAAGAACATAATAGGAGATGGATCTAAAAAGGGAATTAATTTATAAGCATTTTGAAGAAAAGGTGTTCCTGTTTGTTGGTTATTTTTCCTCATCAGGTGAAGTTTTTTTTTTTATTTCAATGTTAATTATGTTGACAAAATATGATCAAATATAGACACCGCTAAAAACTATTGAATAAAATTCAACAAGATTTTATTTATGCACGTAAGTACAAATACATTTGTATTAAGATTTGTAAAAATAACACAGAAGAAGAACTGTATTAAAGACACAGATCTGTATTTTACTATTTATATGAATAGCATTGATAAGTCTTCGAACCCCTTTTACCTACAGTGAACAGTAGCCATAGCCGGAACCTAACTTACAGTAAAAGCCGGAACCAATATCATAATTCTAAGGTTCCGGTTGGAACATAATATATCCGGAATGTAAATTATTCGACACCGGACACAAAAAGCTAACAGACAGACGGATGGACATGAAGGCTATAACAAATTACATTATTATACCTCATATAAATAAACACAAGTAAAGAGGAATCTGATTGGCTGAAGCAGTCTTGTGACCGTCGTGTTTGCCCTGCAAAAAAAAACTTCGTGTTTCCGGCATTCGGTTCACCTTGCCTGACTACGCTATCCTACATCTAAATGTAATCAACTGAGGTGTACAGAACGTCTTTCACGTAGTGTTCCCCGATTGTGATGTCACAATGCGGCGAATGCGATGATTTACTAGTATAATGAATTCGATTGTTTAAATCTTTGAATAATTATGTCGATATAAAATCTTAAAGTATAAATAGTTAGAAAAAGTGTTTCCATGAGTGGGTAATGAATGTAACTACACTGCAGTGTGTAAATCAGAATGACTTGTCACGAAGGGTTTTTTTTTTTTATGAAACGCTAGTGGTGTGACTTACACCTATTGGTATTTCATTTTGTTCTCATCAAATGTTAACTTTATTTATTGGATTCTCTTTAATATCTTCTGCATTGTGCTTGATTTGGTATAATAACATAATTATTGCATGAATGTTCGGGAGACATGAAGATTTCTTCGCCCATGAAAAAATCATATTCCCCTCAGGCATTGCCCTCGGGGAATATGATTTTTCATGGGCGAAGAAATCTTCATGTCTCCCTCACTATCATGCAATAATTGTATAATACACGTTAGAAGGGATGTCTTAGGACAGCGGTTCAAAAGGTGGTGTTTATAGAGCCCTGGGTTTTGTTAAAATTTTATTTACCTTGTTTACGAAGAACAGGACCATCCACATCCATGTTTTCTTCTTTTCTCTCCATTCTAATACAACTACTTCATCAACTACAATTACAACTACATCGTTAACTACAATAAAAAAAAACTGGAAAGTTTCCTCCACATTTTATACAATAGTTTGAATTCTTATAATGCTTCGATGATATTCTTGGAATGATAGAGCACTCATCAATTCTTTTATTCTCCGGTCCTTGTAAGCAAAGTAAATGAACAGGTCCAGCACAATCTCTTGATTAGGCCAGGTAAAATTAATCTTTAGATTCTCATCCTAATTTGCTAAAAAATGGGGGTGGGTGGGCGGATTTTATTTTTTATTTTTTATAATTGTTAAATTATACGTATCAGCAAAACATGGACGCCTCATACAAATTTTTTCATTATGTTATTGCAAATATGAATAGATTTAATTCTTTTCATATTCTTTTAAATATTTAAAGAAAATATGAAATATTTATCGTTAAGTAACAAATTATCAAGTACACATTATACGGCACACCCTGAACAAATGAGGTGGGGATACCAATAAATTGTGTATGTGTGACTTCTTATTTTGCAAAATATGTTCTAATAATTATCTACTGAAAAATCTAGGCCTTCTTTAAAGTCTGTCTACGATGTTGTTGGTTTTTTTTAAAAGCAAAATCACACACAGCTGGAGATCGTTATACATTTTGTATTTAACTTGACCAGGTGTCATTTTCCTCGTCTATTTTTACTTAGTTACAATCTCTCTAAATACTTGCACCCGTGGGGATCCGGGTTAGAATAGGTCCTCAGTAACCCCTTGCTTGTCGTGAAAGGCGACTAAATGAGGCGGTCCTTCGGATGAGACCGTATAAACCGAGGCCCCGTGTCACAGCAGGTGTGGCACGATAAAGATCCCTCCCTGCTCAAACTCCGTAAGTGCCGAGCATAGGCCTAAATTTGCAGCCCTTCACCGGCAATGGTGAGTCTCTCCATATCAGTGAAATATTCTGGAGAGGGACTTAAACAGTATACAATCAGTCAATCTAAATACTTGCTCATGCCAGTGATGGTATCTAGATGTGTTTATGCTATTTTTTCTTCTCTGCCTTCTCTATACTGACAAATGATCTTTTCCTTACATATTTAAATTGCTTTTACTGCCGATTTTTCTCCATTCTTCACATGGCTCTTTTGCTATAAATAGCGACACATGACTTTTAATGCAGACGGGAGATAACCTTTAAACTTTGACCCATATTCTTGCTGAATAAAAATACACGAAAATACCTTTATTAACACCCAAAAATCAAAATAAAAAACATCGGGGCGGGACACTTTGAGAGGGGCGGGCGGGGATGAGAATCTAAAGATTAATTTTATATGGCCTTAAGCTATATAGCTTTAAAAAGCTATATAGCTTTATTAAGCTATTCAAAATAGCTTGATAAAGCTATTTATATGCAATTTTTCACAAAAACGTTTTTTGAAAGATATAAACAAAAAGTCGCAAATATTTGACTCTTCATATATGTACTATGGACTATCAAAAATACAACCTAAATCACAGAAAGTTCTAACATTGCTGCTGTTGAATACTTTTAAGCAAAATATGACTTTCCATTGTTTGAGTAACTGTGTGTGTTGTGAGGCGTGGGTAAGTATGATTGCTTCTCATTGTGCTGAACTGTTACTAATCAATTATCCTGTTGGCCATAACTGGCCTCCTTTATAATTTCATTCAAGAAATAACAGTGTGGTCACTCATCAATAGCCCCAAAACTTTTAAAACTTTGAGTACAAAGTCTCTCAAGGAGACGCAATTTGGTGAGTGATTTTTACATGCATTGTATTCAGAAGAAAACAAAGTTTAATATTTCCACTGCACCAAGGTGCGACTTTTTGCACATGTTGAAAAAATAACGCATTTGAGAAAAAAGTCTGACAAAATAGCTTAATCAAGCTATTCTGAATAGCTTAATAAAGCTATATAGCTAAATCAAGCTATATAGCTTAATCAAGAGATTGTGCCGGACCTGATGAACTGACTGTAATGTTCACATTCAGATATGGCTATTTGCATGCAATGGTGTGACTGCTGCAAAGTATTAGGGGGAGTAAGATGGTGTTTTTCCCTTTTAAAGATCTGATAAGATGTGTTTAAAATAGACCTTGACACACAAAACTTTTTAGATATATCGATAACGCATACATGTAGTTACGAACAATATTTCATTGTACAATGTGGTCATTTAGGTAGTTTCAAACACCTATTGTAAAACTTTTACAATTGAACAACAAAATAAAGAAGAAATTAAAACACTACGATACCTATACCAATTAATGTACCTTAGTATCAGCCTACTTCATCAAGAACTTTGTCGTATACTTTTGAAGTCGCTATAAACAAAGAAGTTAATTAGGTCTATGGACAGGAAATCATCATTTTCTTTGTTTGTTTGGCTCGCGTTTGGATGTCACATGCACATTTATGCTTCTATACACTAAAAGTAATACAGTCATTTTTAACAAAAACACAAATCTAAATCTACTTTCGTTTTGGTCATCCCCGAACCCGATCAATTATCGAGAACCTAAAAATATGTATAATATCAATGATGTTCATTAACAATCACTGACATATTGAAATGCAATATGTACTGTATTCAATAAATAATTTAGACATAATTAAACGCTTCAATCAAATCCATTTTTTAATTAAGTTGAAAAGTTTCCGACGATGTTCTCCCTTTGCTGATTTCAAGGAATTCCCAACTTTTCCAACTTTCGGTTTGTCTTTATTTTACTCTTCCTTGACGACAAGGCAAATGCTTTAGTCTTTGAAGGTAATTTGAGCATTAATCATGTTAATTATGAATGGCATTTTTGTCTATAATCAAACTATTTGGAGATAAAATTATGATTATAGCTACAGAGCTTGCGTACGTATGGCAAATACTAGTATGACGAATTCAATCAAATAGACCAGGTCCAGTACAATCTCTTGATTTAGCTATATACCTTTAAATAGCTACATGTATATAGCTTTATTAAGCTATTCGGTATAGCTTAATTTAGCTATTTTACTACACTTTTTTTCTCTAAGGTGTAATTTTCTCAGTATGTACAAAAAAGCGCACCTTGGTCATGTTGGTGCAGTGATGATATACAACTTTGAACTCTTCTTAAAATAATGTATGTAAAATCCACTCATCAAATTACGTCTCCTTGAGAGACTTTGTACTCAAAGTTCTACAAGTTTTGGGGCTATATAAAGCAATTGATACAGTTACTTCTGCAATGATATTATAATGGAGACCAATTATGTTTAACAAGATAATTGATTGGTAACAGTTCAGACTACAAATTAAGGTACAGTGAAATAACGAATCGTATCCGTTAACGAATCACTTTCTGATGAAAATTCTGTATTTTTCTTATCAAAGTCCAATACTTAGCTTAACCTACCCTGTCATGCTGAATTATTCTTGCTTTTATCATTTATCATGAAATTCAACTCATTCAATGTCCTAATTTTTAAATAATGTAGTGAAATTGCATATATACAGTGTATATTTATAGGCCTACCCATCTTTCGTCATTTACAGAACTACAGAAGTAGATTGGGAGCGCCTATGAATAAGACTATATTATATACAAATATGTAGAGAAATTGTTTTTCCTGATGGGGTGATAAAAACCAAGGCAGACAAGTTCCCTGGCTTCATGCATGTAGGTTTGTGTGTTTGAAAAAAAAAACTCTATTAATATAATGAACAAGAAATATAATATTTCCATAAATTATTACCATAGGCACTTCCCATCTTAATTGTTAAAAAAATATATTCTACTACATGTATACTATAAACAAAACTTATTTTGTTTGAAGCATAGTAGATAAATTAATTTTTTTAACAATTTAGACGGGGAGTGCCTATGCTTATTACATTAGATATTAATTCGGGTAACCCTTCGATCATACAATGTAATCATATTGTAATAATTTGTTCATGCCCCCCCCCCCCTCCCGGGCCCTTGATTGCATGGTGAATAAACATTTATATATTTTTTTGTTGTTGTTTTAGATTGGCTTGTGTTGTATTACAACATGTCTGGATCATCTAAAACAGCCACTTCAAGCAAAGAAAAAAATAAAAACGTTGGCATTGTAAGTTGTGGAAGTGAGGGTTCAATATACTAGTACATGAAATTGAAATATTGGCACCGGATTAACATGAGTTAGAAAATCAGTCAATAAATCAGGGCTCGATAGTTATGTTAAATTGTCTATCAATATCATTTATATATTTTTATATCTCTGATCAATATGTATGATTATGCAGGCGGGTATCCAGGATTTTTTTGACTGGGGACCAATTTCTTGATTAAAAAAATAAAACAAACAAACAAAAACTAACGTTCACTCATTTCCCATTTAAAAAAAAAACTTTCGTGAGTGTGGGGGGTCGGGGGGGGGATTAAGCTTTAGCTTTGACTTTTAAAGCCTCATACTTATGACTTTTCATACCAATTTCAAATACATGTAGATCTGTCTCGGAGGAGGAAACCGCGTTTTCTCTGGGAAGGGGAGGGGGGTCCAAGTAAGAGTACATACATACCTCTGCAAGCCCTCTAGATCTATGCATGGTATGATCATTCCCACTCTCCATGATTCTCAAGTAGAAAACAGAGAAAAAGCTTTTTTCGACTGGGATTAATTATAGTGGAAGTTTGAAATTCTAATCTCAACCCTTCAGGCCCGTAGGAACCGACGAGATGTGCCTCAATAAGATGATGGGTGGATAAGACGGGCGAAGTGCTCATAATGCGACAGATAAAAAGTGAAAAGAACGTGGGCGCTTTGATTGGCATTCAGCAGAAATCGTGGCGTAATTGAAAAGTAAAAGTTTAATCGACATGTCACATAAAATTTTAACATTTTTAAAGCTATTAATCGGGTTCCTGTGCAACGGAAAAGGAAAATATTTTCCCGAAATTGAGCTTTGATTTGCTAAAATATAACTTGATGATTTGCCAGATAAGACATTTGGTACAAAAATGGTACATTTTTAAACACGGTTTTCTAAAATTTTCTATCTCTGGGTCTTCTCTCCATGATTTTGAAACGTTATTTTTGTTATTTTGATTCAAAGAAACGAATTCACTTTTGTAAAAAATGGACAGAAGACACAGAGACCACGCAAAAATAAACTTTTTCCACAAAACCCAAATGTGTGAATGTGGTGCTTATTGATCCTTTTAAAGTATAACATATATAAAACATATGTTTAACATATTTTCATGTGTATAAATACACCGTGTGTTTATTTTTACACATGTTAAACACAATCATGTGAAACATATTTTTAACATGTGTTTCAATAACACCATATACATTTGTGCACTTTTAAATTTTATGTGTTTTACATGATCGTGTAAAAATATATATGTTTAACACTAGTGATGCCCAAAAACTGCTAGCTAATCACCACCCCTCATTAGAATTCAATGGTGTATATTTACTGAAAGTGTGTATAGAAGGGATATATTAAATGTTGAAAACTCTTTTTCTTTGAATGCTTTGAGATAAAATATGATTTCCTGAGAATACAGGATTTAGATGATCATATGATAGTGCATGCATATTTATAAACATTAACATACACATTTTTTAGCATCTCAAAGATAAAAACATAGCTATAATACAGAGTAAAATGTCAATTTATATAAATTATGAGAGCTGCAGTCTAGTATTTCCAACCATCGAGAAAAATATACAGTGTATATTGAAAAAAAATGCACATCACTTCATAATTTTGCATTGCTTTTCATACGCGGACATTTTGGATTTCAAATGAAACTTTTTTTCTTTAGAGAACAATTGAAGAAGAACATGCAGAAGAGCTGGTTGCTCTTTTCAAAAAAGAACTTCAAGATATAAGTAAAAACTACAAAGATATTCATGTTTCGACATGCACATCACCTGCACAAGTTATTATTCAAACCAAAACAAAAGGAGATGAATCTGTAGAAAAAATTAAAAGAGAAATGCTTGGGTGGTTAGGAAGATTGACACAGGAGAAAGTTATAACAGAAAAAGATGAAGGAAGTCAAGCAAAAATAAGAGAGTTCATGAAAAAAAATAATATATTCTACAGAGAGAAAAAGCTTGGTCAATCACAAGTATTTCGAATGAAATTTAAAACAACAGTCTGTGACCCGAACGATTACATGAAGAAGCTTAAAAAAGTACTTGGAAGGACAGAGGAAAATACAGGAACGGTTAGTGAACTTGCACAAAATGTTGAAGGTCTTAAAACAAACCCTACATCGTTTTCAAAGAGCCTTAAAGGCGCAAAAGCACAAGAGGCAAAAAAATTAGAAGAACGGGAAAAGTCGATCCAGCAAGCAAAGAAGACAAAACCACAAGATCCGATTGTGCATGTACCAAATGGCAATTCTTTTGGAACAAGTCCTATGTGCAGGCCTATAAAAAATTCGTATAAAGTAGACGTAACATTAAAAAGTGATTTGATATTTAGAATATACACCGCAGATATTACAAAATTAAAACTGGATGCTATAGTTAACCCGGCAAATGACCAATTGTTAAACACTGGGGGTTGTGCTTTACACATTTCTAAAGCCGCAGGAAAGGACTTTGAAGACGATTGCAAAAGTATTATAATAGAAAAGAAAAAAATTAAAGTTACAGAAAATGTGGTGACTAGTGCAGGGAATCTGCCATGCAAATGCGTCGTTAATGCTGTCGGTCCAGAATGGGCAAATTATGATGAAGGGAAAAGGGTACAATGCTTAGAAGATCTTCTTAAAACAGTCATCAATATACTAGAAAAAGCAGAAAAGGCACAGCTGTCTTCAGTTGCAATACCACCCATAAGTTCAGGTATGATGCCATAGATTTACCTTTTTTGTTGAGACAGTGGAATAATTTTTGTAAATTGTGTCAATAATAACTTCGTATTAATAATCAATTTTCAGCTTTTGATTTATATTAAGTTTGAGGAAGGTTTATCAGCTGGTTGTAGACTATAACGTAGTTGATCTGTGTACTATATTTTTCTTCCTGTTAGGAATATTCGGAGTTCCTGCGGAGGTGTGTGCTCCAATGTACGTGAAAGCGATCACAGATTTCGACAAAAAGCATAGAAGGAAATTACGAGAAGTACATTTGGTTGATATGGATCCAAACAACAATATCTTAGACCTAACAGCATCTGCATATCACACTTTTCTGCAGAAACACGAAAGTCTTAATCCGGATGACGTCATGCGACGTTACGCCCAACTAAGTCTTCAAGGTTCGAAGTCAGTGAACAAACAAGACAAACTAGAGGCGTCTTCAAATCAATCACGATGTCAATTTGTAGGAAAAGACAAAGGAGGAGTACTCTCATTTGAAATGGGCAGAAAACTGAAGATATTCATATACAAAGGGGACATTGTTTCTCTTAAAAATATCGGGATACTTGTTTGCTCTGAAAATAGAGGAGTGACAGGATCTGGAGCTCTTGCCCAAAGCATTCTAAAAAATGCTGGTCCGCTTTACCAGAGGGACTTTAAGAAAGTTCAGGAAAAAGTAACCAAGACAGGGAAAAATCTCCCTATAGGTGATACACATGTTTTGCACGCAGGAAAACTCCACTACAAGCATGTAATCCTTGCAATTTTATATCGTTTTCCTCATGAAAGAGCTCCGAAAGAAAATGAACTGCTTGACTTGAAGCAAACGGTGTGTCATGTTTTGAATTGCGCAGAAAATATTATAGCACCTGTAAAAAAGAAGTCTGCAGCACATCCCAACTCTCTTGCAATGCCTTTATTCGGAGCTGGTAAGTTTTTTTTAAATTGAAAATTTGGAAATATATATCTAACAATTTTTATCAACACAATTGTTTCCTATTTCGCAATTTTTAGGGATGATGACAGATCCTAGGTATTTAGAAAAGCTTTGCTGGTCTGTGTATTTCGCCATTGACAGCTATTCAAATCGTAATGATAAAATCGCTCTGAATGAAATCCACTTGGTCAGTTTCAATGACAATACGAATGAAGCATTCATTAACGTCTTTATGGAAGGATCAGCCGAAAAATATAGACAATCAAGACCACTCCCACCTACGGCACGGCCTGCTTCTGCTGATCTTAGTGAACACAAAGCTTCTACCGAGGATAAGGACAACAAACATGCAGAAATATGGACCATGGAACGCAGAAAGAAAAGCCTACCAAATAATAAGACATATTTCCAGAATCCAGCAGAGAAATCTTCGGATTCCTGTGTCATCTGCTTGGAACCATACACCAAGCCTGTAGAGCTCAACCTTTGCCACCACGTATTCTGTGAGGAGTGCATTGGCGATTTCTTCTCGAGAAAGACTGCATGCCCCGTTTGCAATACTGTCTATGGGAAAATTTATGGAGATCAGCCACAAACAGGAACAGCAACAGTTTTCAAAGAAAATTACTCTCTCCCGGGACATCCAGAGTCCAACACCTGGGAAATTCTTTATGAATTTCCAGATGGAGTTCAAGAGGTAAAGACTAAAGGATATTGCACCTAGGTTTAATTTTAAAATTTATAAAAAAAAAAAAAAAAAAAAAAAAAAGATTATACCATTATACAATGCCAAGTAAGGGATGCATAAAAGCCTCAAATTCAATATTTTTACGTATAGCAACATTTGAAATTATATAAGACCAATCGTAAAAGTCTGTGTATCTTGATTTATAATTATGTGTGCAACAAATGCACTAGACGTATGTATAAATTTATTTCACTATTGATAAAGAAAAATCAGTTATTTTTTCTTGTTTTAGCAAATGATTCAACTAGAATTTCGCAATGTTATAGCTGGTGGACATTTTGTGGGTCTATTTAAAGCAATATGAGCTGCATGTTTGACATCGGAAAAAAATATTTCAAATTTGTGATTAACTATTTCAATGACAGGAAAATAGAACGTTTATAAACTTCTTTTGTTCATATTTGGTATGGAAGAACGTTTTATAAGCCTTGATTGAAGCAAAAATTAATTATTGTCGTCCTGTACAATAATGATTTCTTATATAATACTGTATATTCGGTTGTACAGAAATATTTCTTCTGAAACATTTTTAAACTTTAATTTGGTCTTATTGATCATAAGGGTTTAGATTACATACTGAAAAATCATAATAACAGATTTTACCAGCAAAATGAAATTCTCAAAAATGCAGCTCATATTGCTTTAAATAGACCCACAAAATGTCCACCAGCTATAACATTGCGAAATTCTAATTGAATCATTTGCTAAAACAAGAAAAAATAACTGATTTTTCAATATTTCAGGATTGTCATCCACACCCAGGTCTGCCTTACAAAGGGACTCGCCGTTTAGCATTCCTTCCAGCTACTAAAGAAGGCACGGCTGTTTTACGTATGTTGGAGAGAGCCTTCAAACAGGGATTGATATTTACTGTAGGATCATCCAGAACGACAGGGCAAAGTAACGTCGTCACTTGGAATGACATCCATCACAAAACGAGACCTAAAGGCGGGCCTGAGAGGTAAAAATATACAAAATTAATAGTAATCACCGATTCTTACATGTAAAAGCATTCAATTTGATTTTGAATACTTGTATATTTCAATCATTTTCGTAAAGGTTTGGATATCCAGACCCAGGTTATCTTCTGCGTGTTCGAGAGGAACTAGAAGCGAAAGGAATCACAGAGAGAGATGACAGGGAGCAGCAATAAGGCAGACAGTTTAGAAGCAATTTGAGACTTTGGATTGAGTTACTTTGACTTAAAACTTCAAAAAAGTTATTTTGTCTTGACTACATATCAGTTTTAAGTAAATTTATTCCGTACTTACCGTAATACAATTTCAAGTACTTATACCTGTTTACAAGGGAAAATTCTCGATTATTTTTTTTAACCACAGAGCGAGGGAGTGAGTGAGAAAGAAAGAATTATAGCATTGTTAGTATCAGTCTGTGCTATCTATTTTTATATATGAAGGAATGTTTGTTTTCCTATATTTTTGATGTCATGTTTTCTTACAAGATTTTTACTTGTTAAATTCTGTCGGTAGTTAGAAGAACATTACTTACCGGTATATTGGGTACATTATAAGAGAAACAGCGAGGAAGAGAGACTTGGAAGGTGGATTTTTTTGAGTTAGTTGTTTAGCTTTTAATGTCATTGAAAGGGTTTTACATAGTTTTTCTACATGTTTATAGTTTAAAAAAAAAATATTTATGGTACAAGTTGAAAGATATATTCATATATGTCAGCTAAATGCATGGGAAATTTTGTCGTCGTGTATTTTAACACATAAAATGAGTATCACAGTTATTGCGAAGTGCCGGTGACGAAAAAATACAATTAAACGTTACTGACGTTCTATCAGAAAATTTTTTTTAAACGTTTTAGAAAAGTCAATTCGCAGCAAGCATGATTTTGCTGTAAGGTTGTTTGTTGTAACCTTGTTTAACTGTACATCTTTAGTTAAAAGATGTGTACATTGTTTTTTTTAAACACCCAATTCTTTCCTCAACATTAATTAATATGTTTCCACCATTCTACGTCATCCTACATACAGCTGTACCTATAAAGTCAGGGAAACTATTTTGTAAATCAGATGAAAGCTTAATTCTTAAATTGAAATATATGTTGAGAGTTTGCAAAGGACCCGAATGGAAATGTAAGTACATGAAATTAAGGATGACTAGAGAATGACATCTCACAGTAGTATCCATTAAAATTTTTCAATTCACATATAATCAATATAGCCCCACCAGAACCCTTGACCCCGAAGCAAAGGCATTCAAAGTGTTTTAGAAGAGGTACACTATTGCTTCACAACAATACACTTTTCCCCTTGAAATCCAGAGAAAAACGGTAGTTAATTTTCACTAAATAATCAACTCCTCACACTGGGGCTACAAATTTTACAATTTTGGACACCACATCCCAACCATACAAATATTTTTTCTGCTAAAAATGAACATTTTTGAAAGACTATACATTTTCAATATATGATCATTCCCGTACGAAACAGTCCGGGCGGCTTAGACACGGCTCAGGCACGGATTCCGTCTCCAGAAACCCGTGCTTTAGCATTCCGTGCTCCTATGTAAAGTATGTATGGAAAGCCGTGCCTAAAAGTGGTCGAGGCACGGACACGGCACGGGATATTGGCCGAAATATTTAAATGAGATCACACGGTTTTACAAAACCCGTGTCAGAAAGCCGTGCTAGTTTCCATATATGGACTCACGGATTCTGTAAACCCGTGTCTGAAACCCGTGTCCTTTTCCATATATGGAGACACGGTTTTTTGGAAACCCGTGTCAAAAAAGCCGTGCCTTATACCATATAAGGAGTCACGGGATCTGTGCATTTGTCTAGATCTAGGTCATGGCCTTTAGAGAATCTCTTGATGTAACTGTGGATGCCAAAATGGTTACTGAAACCAAACTAACTTCACATTGCTTTACATTAATGCTTATAGTTTTAGAATTTCAAAAGTTAAAACTCTTAGACAGTCCAGTCCAATACGAAAATTCGTAATATTACGAAAAAACGTAAGATTACGAAAGATCATAATGTTACAAGTTTTCGTAATATAAAATTTATATTATAATTTTTCGTAATGTAGTTAAATTACGAATACGCATAATATAGCAGATTGTAAGAGACTATATTACGAGTTTTCGTAATCCAAGACAAATTCAAGCATTGCAAGAAATTGAGTGGTGGGTAGCAAAGTATGACGTCAGTAATATATCAGATTCCATGGCTACTGATAACACGCGGTCAGTTTGGTCAGTTACGCCTATCAGAAAGCATGGAAATTCAAGAAGAAAGTACCGCCAGCGATGGGTGAGTGGACAATTTCTTTTATTATTCTTTTATAGGAATTTTCCCAAGGATAAGACCAATTTTCCAGTAAATTTCAATATTCCCTTAAGCATGTCGCATTGGTCTATATCACCCGAACTCCCTACTTTTCTTCCGAAGTCTACCCTAAAAATTACACCCTCATCGCATAATACAACTTTTGTGCAATTCTTATTGAAATACACAGAATTCAAATCTTAGTAAGAGTCGTACAAGTTATCGCCCGTGACATCTCGTATTAAACGTCATACTTTGCTATCCGCCACTCAATTTCTTGCAATGCTTGAACTTGTCTTGGATTACGAAAACTCGTAATATAGTCTCTACAATCTGCTATATTACGCGTATTCGTAATTTAACTACATTACGAAAAATTGTAATATAAGTTTTATATTACGATAACTTGTAATATTACGCTTTCTCGTAATACTTTTTTTTGTAATATTACGAATTTTCGTATTGGACTGGAGTGTTAGATGAATGTGTCCATTTACTTTCTGTTAAAGATTAACTCTATCAGTTACAATCCATGCTAGTTTTTAATTAAGATTTTAATGATAATGTACAATATTCAATTGTAATTTAATCTAGTAGCTATAAGTTTTCACAATCTGAGAAAGAATTTAGTTTAAATAAAACTTTCACTAGCACAGTGATGTCACATAAAATATATACTATAAAGGATTAGTGAAAGCCCATAAAGTCATTAAGTCATTCAAATAAACCTAAACTATTTCATCATGTTCATTGTCAACATCGCAATACAGGAAGATCATGAAAATTGAAAAATTGACTTATTTATTCTAGATTACACTTACTGCATTTAGTTCAAAAGTGAAGAAATTATCCCAGACTGACATAAATACAATTCCAACTGACATCTATTAGTTAAATATCCTTTAAATAGAGCAAAAAGACACATTGACTTAGCTCATGACCATGAATCCCTCCAATTTAATATTCAAATAAAGGAAGTTATGATTGAGCATGCTCAGTAAAAAGCCATGAGATATAAATAAATAGTTTGAAGCAAAACCCGCCTAAGTTAAAAACCGTCTCCCTGGGACACGGATTTCGTGCCTCCACACGGGTTTCTGTGAGTGATGATTCCTAACTTTCAGACACGGAAGCCGTGTTCGTGTCTTGGACATGCAGAACCCGTGCGGCTTTTTAAAAACCCGTGCGGATTCCGTGTCTTAGCCGTGCCCAAGCCGTGCCCATTCCGCCTCCAACTTTCGTACGGGCTAGAACCCTAACGTTACTCCAATACTTTGTGTTTATTAATTTCACATTTTTGGTAGAAAATCTCAATGTTTATCACAATCATGGCATCATTTAAAGTGTTTTTGTGAACAGGAGTGAAGAGGGCTTAAATGACTGCATTAGTTTTTCCCCACCCCTCACACCCAAGAAAGGCAGGGACCATAAAATTTATAAATATTGTTCCCCTTTTCTAATAGATGCTTTATGACAAAATTCGATGAAATTGTTTCAGTGGTTGTTGAAATGAAACTGAAAATGTTCAACCGTTAACGTTTGCTATAGCACACGTTACATGTAACAGTTGAACATTTTCTATATATCTATTGGACATAATCAGTTAGCAATACATGTGCTAAGGCCACAAGAGAATCTTATTTTTATGATTATTTTTTATATTTTGTTAATCAGCATATTGTTATGGCTTTTAGAAAATATAAAAATCTGCTCTATGATTTGGTATTTATTTCAATTAAAATGTATACAAAAGCTCTACTGGAACAAGATACTCAACCCTATAAAATACATGTGGGTTTTGGTATTAATGAGAGATTGTACTATGGTTACCAAAATATATTAATTTCTTTATCAAATTCTAACGAAAAATTATATTCTTTATACAATTTTAGCGTGTTTTGATTAAATCCTGGTATATATACAGCTAGACTTCATTGAAATTCATTATTCTTTCGATTTTAGTGAAAGGTATTGTAATTGCAAACCAAAAATATATAAAGAACACAAATTTTTATATAATTGTAAACGAAATTATTGATGAAAAACAAATATATATAATGGGAAATTTGAAAGTCTTTCAAAAATTCTATTCCCTTCTAGGTATGATTAGATTTTAAAAATAGTTGGTAAAATTATATATGTAGATGTATAATCCTAAAATAGAAATCTAAAGGTCACACACCAGCAAGTGCACATTTTCCACTATTCAAACAAATGTGCAGCTATATCTGTGATATCGAAATTATTAAATACCGCCTTAAAAAGAAATTAATATATATGAAAAACGAGTTTTAAAGTCTTATATATAAGAAAACGAAATTAATATATAAAGAGAAACGAAATTATATATAAAGAAAAACGAAATTAATATATAAAGAGAAACGAAATTATTAAATAAAGAAAAACGAAATTAATATATAAAGAGAAACGAAATTATTAAATAAAGGAAAACGAAATTAATATATAAAGAGAAACGAAATTATTAAATAAAGGAAAACGAAATTAATATATAAAGAGAAACGAAATTATTAAATAAAGGAAAACGAAATTAATATACAAAGAGAAACGAAATTAATATATAAAGAGAAACGAAATTAATATATAAAGAGAAACGAAATTATTAAATAAAGGAAAACGAAATTAATATATAAAGAAAACGAAATTATTAATATATAAAGAGAAACGAAATTATATATAAAGAAAAACGAAATTATATAAATTATTAAAAGAAAAACGAAATTATTAAAAAAAAGAAAAACGGAATTATAAAAAAAGAAAAAAAGAAATTATTTAATAAAAAGGAGAGTGAGGGAGAAAGAGAAAATATCAACTGAAACAAATACTTCAATCTAATGTTTGAAGTAAATTGTCAATAATTGTTTAACGGTATACTTAATTTGTTGATGTGTGGCATTATGCATAGAGGATCAAGAGGGTGGCTGTTTCTGCTTGATTAAAATTAATGACATCCAATTCAAAGAGCGCTTGAATCGCTGAAAGGTCAAGACCTTGCGTATCGTATTATAAAATTCCCTCCGGGATAAGCCTAGCGCCCCATCTGTATATTCATAAATCACGGGTTGTTGAAACAATAACGAGGATGATTTGATTACTTCGTGGATATTTTTACTTCACCATTCCCCTCATTTCATAAGGACGTCGCTAAAATGGCATTTTGTTCTTCTTGTGGATCACCTAATCAGAATGATAATTATTGCTCAAAGTGTGGGAAGAAAATTGACAAGTCCTTGGGTATGTATATATACAGATTCTCTCTTTCGGGCTCTCCCCCTCTCTCTTTCTCTATCTCTCTCTCTCTCTCTATCTCTCTCTCTCTCTCTCTCTGTCTCATATAAACAACTTCTACATTGTAGTTATCCATCACAAATACAATGTGTGGTATTTACAGAAACTACAGGCACTGAAAGAACAAAACATGTAACATTACCAACTTTTGATGAGTTTCAAAGCTTTAGAAGAGAAAAAGAACAGGAACGGAGAACTACATTTCCTTTCTCTAAAAAGGGTAGAAAATGCGAAGGGCGTGTCAAGGTTGGTATAGCTAAAGATTTCTTTCAGGCGAACATATAAATGCAGAATACATGGTTTTCACGCACATACAATCTTTCATCATCGCAAACCACGGCCAAAATGTACGATCCTCTCCCATTGAGAGAGACAAACATGTAGACTCAGAACCGTGGCTTGAGACGATGACACCCTTCTGGTTGAGTTGACGTGTATGAAACAATTTTAATCAGACTCTGAAGAGTCAAAGGAAAAAATAGACTTATTTGAATTATTTAAAATTAACTAAAAAGTGAGCTTGGGCTCCACCCCTTTGAAAATGCAGACCATCGAAATCTGCATGAAGTTGATATTAAAACTTAAAAGTCATAGGTATGAAGCTTCAGAATTCAACGACTATCCCTACATCCAAACTAATCACCACCACCAACTTGAAATAGGGTTTTCACGTTAGGAAAGCAGTTTAATTTTTTTTGCTTATAAACCCAGGCCCTGGCATTCTTGCACGTTTACCTGTATATATTAAAATTAATTCACCACCAGAAATACCTTCATTTTACTTATGGGTCATTTATTACCGTTATTACTTTCTCAAAGGAACCCACTGTCTTGTCTGTTACACATCTTGCTTAAAAATTTATGGACAGTTTAAGGATGGATGGGCTAATTTATTTAAACAATAAAATGCTTTCTTTGTTTGTTGTTACTGGAATGAACGGAAGCAGCTGTTGCAGAAAAAATACATATTAACCCGCGTAAGCGGGTTATGTAATTTTTTTTCTGCAATAGCTGCGACTGTTCGTAAAATTGACTGTTCCGTATTATGATGTGATCTTGACATCTAGACATGTAACAAGAAAAGAAAGAATGTTTGGTAAAGAATTCATGCTGTATATATAACTCATTCTTTTCGTAAAACTAAAATTCTTAATTTAATTTTCATTTTCTTTTATTTTACTTCATAACAGCATTTGATTTAGACCCCCCCCCCCCCCACACACACAACAACAACAACAACAACAAAAGAAAGAAAAGGGACACAAAGGCATCTAAATACTTATTATTCTAACTGAAATATAAAACTTAAGATCCTTCCCTCAAAACTGATGACATTAATGGCCCCGCGCACAAAAATCAGAGATAAACGTTTAAGTTCGCTCTAATGTGTCTACAAGTTTTCTTGGCATGCGGTAAAACGCTGCTGACAGATCAATTAATTCAATGGTACAAATTTGAAAAAATGTCCCTTGATCCTTTGAATTCAGTATACACACCAGCAGATCTGTTGAAACAACGAATATATATAAAGCCTTTTTGACAACTGTAGATCACGTGCACTATTTTATTTTTTTTGCGTCCTGCTGATTTTTAACTGAATATATGATATATGTTCGCCAATTACACTGTATAAGCATACATATTATAATTACACATAAACAAGGTTTCAAGCATGGGAGCATAGCATAGCATCCAGGCATAATTAAGAATTTTGATTGTGAAAACAAAATAAAACCCCACCCCTTATCAAATTAGGATTTTTGAGCTAGTTCGGAGATTTTTTTACCTATAGTAGGTTTATGAACACACCACACTTCACACTGTATCCATCAATGTTAGAAAAGCGAGTATGCGAGCGGAACTAACATTTTATTTTAATTAGGTTAAGTTTCATTACTTATAATCAAAATTTACTGGTTTAATATAGTTATATCGGCATAAAATGCGACCAAAATGACAAATTTGAATTACATTTAGTGTATTTCAAAAAGTATGTTTTTTTCTAATTCAACAAATATGCTAAATATCACAGAATATGTTTTTTTTTTTTAACTGTGATCATTTTTGTGCGGTTCTTAATTTTCATATGTCCTAATCTTCCATGTATATCTTTTTTTCTGTTTTCAAATTAGATAACTGTAGGTTTAATGAGATGCAACGCAGGGGCACCAAAGTACGTAAGAGGTAGTGGCGTTACCTTGGAAGTCCTACCAAGTAGCACTGGTGGTGACTTAATAAGATTAGCACAGGAAAAGCATATCCTTCTTAATAAAGGTCTACCAGATACCAGTTACGTTCTTCTGTATAAAGATGGTTCGTTAGCTACCTGTATTCCTGGCACATCATCTCCCATGACCCTTCGTGGATACAAGGAATTTCTTGGATTTCCTTATCAAAAAGTACCACTATATATATGTCCAAAAACGGAGTACGAAAAAGGTATGTTTTAAAATAACTTAGAAAAAGCGGAGAATTCATCATTGGAAATATTTATTTTACAATAGCTTTAAACGATTTTATCTGCCCATATGCCAAAGGTGTCAAGAGGAAATTAAAAATTGGGTATAGAAAGGAGGTATGAGCTGAACAAAAAATGTATATAAACACCAATTTAAAATGCCTATATATTATGAACATGTCTACAAATAAGGGGGGATAACCACACCACCCACCCTCCGGTTTCGACGTCTCTGTATGTGTTTAATTGCTAATGCATTAATTTCATTTTTTAACAGTTCAAAAAGACTCCGACTCTGACGAGTTACCCGAAATAAACTTGGATGATTCTTGGGACTCGTCAGGCACTCCAGAAATAAAGTTTCGGAAAAAAAGAACCCAAACCAACATTCAAAGACAAAAGGACGACCAGCCATCAACTAGTTCTTCGATGTCAGGGGCACATTGCTTAAATTACAGGTATTTATATTATATTTTTTATTAGTAATGTTATAAATTATCAAAAATATTTTTAAATTAAATTATAGGTTGTATGTTTTTTTTTATAAAAACAATATCTTTATAGTGAGTACATCACCATATTGCCAGATGAAAGCGATGATAAAGAGGATAAAACAGTCTCACCACTACCGCCCCTTCTTGATAAGGAAGAGGACAATGTTCAGTAAATATTACATAAATAAAGATATTTGCAGTGACATAGCATCAATTTTGAAAGGGGACAATCAGATAACAAAAAATTCTATCTTAAAAAACAATCAAATAAAAAATAGAAATTGCCCAAACTCGAAAATCGTATTTCGTGGTGGTGGGGGTAGGGTTGTGGTTAGGGGATTGGACTTTTTTCAGTACCATATTATCTACATATAATGCTATATTACCCTTTTTTACCTTACTGTGGGTATAAGTGGGAGGAGGGCGGAGCACCCAGCCTTCAATGAATATTATTAATACAGTAGTATAAAGTTATGTTTGTAAAAAGGGGGAGGACATCCCCCTCCTGTTGCTACGTGCCTTATTTGTGTAATTGCATGCTGCATGTATTTTCATTTTATTGAATAATTTCTAGCATGTATATTTTAGGGAAGTAGTTTCTACAACGGTCAAAGACATTTTGATGGATCTTAGTCAAAAAATTAAGAAGACAGAGATAAACAGATTCAACATCAATAGAAAAAATGTTTGGGATGGGGCTTGTCGAGGATTCAAAAGAACATCATTTTCACCTGAAAACACCTTATTTGTGAAATTTACTGATGATGAAGGGGCATCGGAAGAGGCTTTGGATCAGGGTGGCCCTAGAAGGGAGTTCCTTCGCCTGCTTATGGGAAGCCTTTCCCAAACGTGTATGTTTGAGGGCCCCATTACATCCAGAATATTGGCTCTTGATAGTCAGGGTACGCATACAAATGTATTTTTTTTTTGGGGGGGGGGAGGGGGTATAAACACAGGCGCTTGTTTCATACAGGAAGCTTAGTCTTCTACTATAACAATAAGAGACACAAAATTGATTTCTCTTTTGTATATGCATGTGTGTTGGGGGGGGGGGTGAACAAACATGCTAATGAAGAAGAAAATATTTCAAAAGTTTTCAGTGGAGACAAAAGTTAAAAAAAAAGTTTTAGTCATTCTAGAAATAAATATATTCTGTCCTGTGTATGAGTGATCTGTCTCGATCGTCATTTTTGGAATCAAATGGCTCTCCTCTGAAAAAAAATTAATCGATGTCTTCTATGAATTTTATATGTCTTCTTAAGGCTAAAAATAAATCATATGAATATGAATTTCAAACAATATATTAAAAATTTTGGGAGTTAAAAGTATTTGTCTTCTGGGTGCATAAAAAAACCATGCCTTCTAGAGTAGCTGAAGGGGATTGAAAATGCATTTCAAATTAGAATTTCAATCCAACATTTTCTCGGTCAACCGCGTCGAATTGTACCTGCCCATTTCATTGTCTGTCAATAATTGTTTTGTCTGTAAGAGATTGAAATGACGTAAGCTGCATATTTCCAATGTTCCATGATCTTATGCTTTCTTATGTTCATTGCAGCTTTACAAAGAGATGATTATTATATGGCCGGACAAATGTTGGCGATTTGTCTTGTACATGGTGGACCTTCACCAAAATTCTTCTCACCAACACTGTTTGATGCTTTGGTACAAGGGCCCGAGAAAATCCATGTTCCGCTGGACGATATAACCAATGAGGAAGTCAGAAATGCTATAAAGAGGGTAAACTGAATACTAGATACTTCTGAGGATTCTTAATGCACTTCATGTTCCCATAGAAATATGTATTTTGACAGTTATTAAATAAAATTAGTGAATTTTTAAATAAAGAATCTCTGATATATCGACTATATTAAAAACTTGTAAGACATTGTTCTATATTAATATATGAAAACAAATAAATTATGAAATGTTATATAACAACAGATAACGGAAGCAGAGAACATACACGATCTTCAAAATACCCTTCATGCCGAGGCAAGTATTCTTACGATAGCTGGATGTTTCCATCATGTAAAATCTGTGGAGGAAAAATATCATATTGCAGAAGATTTAAAGAGATGGTATGTTCTAGGAAGAACAAGGTCAGCTTACGAAAGGTACGCTTAATATTAATTATGATAACGTATATATAGGATAATGTATATTATTGTAAGTTTGCAGATTATGTACTACTTATATATAGGTTTTTAATTAAACTTGCTTGTTTTAGTAGAAGAATAAGTTTATTTCTTTTAATAGGTTGAGAAAGGGATTGGAAACTCTAGGTGTTTTACAAGAAATCATCAAACATCCAAATCTTCTCAGAAATTGCTTCATATATAGTCCTATGCAACCAACCGCTGCTGAAATCGAAAGTCTGTTTATACCCAAGATGAGTGTGGTAGGAAGTAGCAAGCGTTTAATTGAAAATACAACATTGGGGTTTTGGAGGGATTACATCCAGGATGCTGAAGGTATTTATTTCTAGCAACATATCAAGCCCCTTCCGAATTTCTGTCATCTTAATGAATATTAGAAAAAATATTTTTACATTACAATTATGGTCAAGTGGAATACTGTTGGATGTTACATGTAAGAATAAAAAAAGATATATCTATTTACTGTGAAAGTCAACACTTAATTCAATACCTAATGCCTTTACTTTCAGAAAAGTCTGCCAAAGCATCACTCTCTGCAATTCTTATTTTTGCAACTGGATCTGATTCAATACCCCCACAAGGATTCACTCCTTCACCATCAGTATCATTCATTCACGCAGAAGAGGAGGGGCAGAATTTCATATCAAAATTCCCAATAGCAAACACATGCGCAAACGAGCTGAAGTTACCTGTAGTCCAGTCCTATGAAGAATTTAAGGACAATATGGACTTCGGAATTTTGAATTCTCCAAGCTTTGGGAGATTTTAAAGGACTCATTTGGTACTCCCCAGTACATGTCCTGAAGAACTATTACAAACTACTTCCATGTATCAACATCAGTCAAAAACATATAGCATGGGGCAAACAAATCAGATTGAATATCTAATTACACACAATATTTTACGTGTGTGTTTTTGTAAGAGTAGACCAAAATTCTGGAAATATTTTTTAAGGATTTGACTTCCAGTTTATGCATGTAGTCAATAATATCCTTGTAATAACCAAACAGAAAAATAAACATGTTTTAATGGATGTCGTGTAAAATTAAAAGTAATCGTATATCAAGACAGAAAAAAACTAGGATGTGTTCGTGAAACACTTTTCTTCCCAATATGTCAGCTTTTAGCGAAGGTTAAAGTTCCTCAAATACTAGTCAAACTTCAAGGTCAAGGATTAAAGGGTTGACTAGTTATCGGAAGAAAGGACTTGTTCTCAATGAATATATATGTGAAAAAGGAGAGCCCAGACACTTGCTATTAAAATTTTTGGCTTAGGTTAAAGGTTTTTGAAATGTAAACCAAACATGAAGCACCAATGTTCAAAAGTTCAAAATCCAAATTTAACTTTTTTCAAAAACAGGTCAAACTCTAAGTTCAAAAAGTCAAATTTGTTGGTATGGAATGCATTGTCACATTAAATACACCTATGAAATATGAAGACCCTTGTACTAATTGTTCAAAAGATTTGTGAATTTTTAATTTTTTTTAACTGGGTCAAAGTCAAAAGGTCAGAGATATTTATATTCCTTGAAAGATCTTGTTTCAATAAATACACATGTGAAATTTGAGAGCTATTATAGCACCAATCGTTCAAAAGATATGGCCATGGTTATAATATTAGGTAATTTATGGCTGGATTATTTTAAACTCCAAGGTCAAGGGGTCAAATATGTTGATACGTAAAGAAAAGCATTGTCACAAGGATTATATTTTTGAAATATGTGACCCATTGCTCAAACCAATCAAAGGTTATAGTCGTGTTAAAGTTTTTGCAGACGAATAGAAAGACAGCTGGACAGACGGAGACGGAAGCATGGGGCAAAAACTATACATTTCTGAATTTTCGAATACGAATTATAAAAATCCAAGTTTAATGAACAGTTGCTCTCTAAAAACAATATTATTTAAATACAATGTAGATCTTTCACGCCTTTCTGACCTCTGAAATCCAGTTCGCGAATATGCAGGGCATGCATGTACACTTTCCTTTTCTGAATACCTCTTAAGCCTTTTTTTTTTTATTAATTATTACTATCTATCTATGTTGTTAATTTTCGCCAGAGAGGCGCATAAGTCTCAAATATTGTTTTAACGCAGAGTCAAAATCACTTGGTTCATCCCAATCTGCAAAGGATTTGACATACTCTAAGTATTCTTCTACATCGTTATCATCACACAACTTTTTAGGTTTAGTGTTTACTCTCATATTGTTGATTTGGTCCTGATTGATTGGCTGTTTAAAGTCTGATTTGCTGTAGAGGTCGTGTAAGAAATATATTTCATTTGGAATTCCTGCAGGACACGAGCCTGTGTTTGGTCTTATTCTATGAGAGTTCCATGCTAATGCGGTACTCTCGAGTTCTTTTTGTAATATATTCATAAAGCAAAACTGAAAACAAGATTTCTGAAATCGATTATCTGGATTGTAAATACCGACTGAATACAAATCGGAGAAATAGTCCATCATCCACTGAGCTTTGTTTCTTTTAAAATAGCTCCACCATGCCTCTATACGCTGATTCCTTACAGAAGTGACAAACCTGTGACTTAATTCGTTCACAGAAAAAACTGTTTGTATCGCTGCTGTTGTGCTGTTCTCGGTCCCAGGGTCTGTTCTAAGATTCTTTGGGATTCCTTCCATTTGTTCTATACAATTCAAATAATAACCTGCAATAACAGCTGGGTCATTATTAGTGGCACATACTTCTAACCACATGACACGTCTGGAAAATCCATCTACAGCACCATGAATTGCAAATCCATACGGTTTTAATTTATCAAAACCGTCCATATGCCAGGTAAAGTTAGGACCATCACTGATATAAATTCGTCTTTGCAAACGCCGTGTCCTCCTTTTCTCACTGCCATGGGGGTCCAATCTCCGTAAAATTTCCATTACTTTATTCCTTGCAACAACAAGTTTATATTTTCTTTGTAGTGTCCTCCACATTTCTCTGTACCCAACATTACTGTTAGGGCCAGTTAACTCCTCTTTTATTTTATCTTCAACGATTGGAAGAGGAGTCATGTGTTTCCTTCGATAGAGGTTGAAAGATTTTAGTCTTTGTTTAAGTTTACGGACGCTCCATGTAATGCTGTGATACAATGATAAACACAGAAGCATCTTTTCATATGTATAACCCTCAATCATATATGCTCTCAACATATCCTCTTCCGTCTCAAACTGTTGCATCTGTGGTGGCTTAGGTAACGTTGCATTTGACAAAGGCAGGCTGGTTGCGATGGTCAATATTAGAAACATAATTTGTGTCCTGAAAAAAATCACAAAGTAATACAATGCTGTTTTATAGATTTTAGTCCATCCAGATTCAATTTCAAAAAACGTTCCATGAAAAATACATGTATAAACTATTCAGACTTGCTCAAGTCAAACGTTTTTACTTTTTTAAAAATAAAAATATGACTTTGCTCTCCTTCAAACATAATGTTATGCCCTGTTCACACGGCAAGTTTAATTCGCAGTAAATTAATGCGAAGTAAACTAATGCGAATCAAACTAATGCGAATTAAATAGCGTTCACACGACAGCTAATGCGAAGTAAACTAATGCGAATTAAATTTTTACTTCGACAGTCAGGCGTGGGGAAGGCTATTATGACGTCATTTGCAAATCACGTCACTTTATGCAGAAGCAAATGCATTAGACATAATGCCACAGTGTCTGGAGACATATTTCAGTGATTAACATATTTTTTCTTAGTTTTTCACTTAAAATAGCACAAGTACTTAAAGCTGACCACCGACATGACGGATTTGACTTAATTTTGCCATTACGCATGCCCCAATATTTAATCCAAATTAGCTTCGCTTAGCGTTCACACGGAGCTAATGCGAAGTAATTTAATTCGCAGTAAACTAATGCGAAGTAAACTAATTCGCATTAAATTCTCCGTGTGAACGCTAAGCGAAGCTAATTCGCAGTAAACTTACGTTTAATTCGAATTAAACTCTTCGTGTGAACAGGGCATTATTAATCATCGGACCTGTGACAAGGTTATGTCGTTTACGAATCAATATTTATGCCCTGTTCATGAAGCGCGCTTCATGAAATATGCCTACGTGACAAGTCTGTGTGATTCACACACCAATAACTCACACAAAACTAAAAAACATTCCTTAATTGAATTAGAAATTCGTGTACTCCTCATGTAAATTTCTAATTCAGTAATGGTAAAGGACAGTTAGTAGGTATCTGTTTTGTTGTGCAATCTTTAACCTATCCCCAAATAAAAGTTGTTTTAGCTACCGAATAAGATTATGCGGACCTTTTGAGAATGAATTTAGTTTTCCTTTTAGCAGTATCGAAAGAACATCCCGACCAAACCAAGATCTAGTTTTAATTAATTTTTAAAAGTTATTTCCGATATATTCGGTTAAGTAAAATACGAGTATATGAAAAATGAAAGGCATCTTAATAAAAAGCTTTTAGTTCTACTTTGTTTTTCATAAATTATCTGTGAGGACTGTAAAAACACAAGCAGTACTTGGAAATTGAAATATTTTTAGTGAGTCATAACGAAACATGGCTCTAAGGAAGGGGGCACGAGTTTTCTCTGCCCCATCCAGAAAGTATTCTAAAGAAGATAAAACTTACTCTGGAATGAACCCCTCAATTACGCTAATACATTTAATTTTCCAATTTTTTTTGCTTTAAAAAAATCCTTTTATAGCCTCTTCCTCAACTTAGGGGCCACAATTTTCAGCATATTTCCAAATTAATGTTTTGTTGTATTTGTAATACATAATTGCAATGTAAGTACATGTAGTTAACCGTGTATCTTTTACAACATATTAAAGTAAATGTGCCAAAATATATCAATAAAATGCAAAATTCCAAGGAAATAAGAGCCGATTGTCTCGCAAGAAATTGCCATTCTGACATTGTTTTCTTTGAAAACTTAAGGCATTCTTATCTTGTTGAAAAATTACATATTTATATCTTCTCATGTAATTAGAATCTTCGGTTTATATTTTAACAAGACAAAGTGGAGTGAATATTCACTACAGGGAACGTTTCAGCCTTCATTATCTTCAAACTTTACAATAATGTGATGCGTTGACCAGTTTGATCAATTGACCCTGTAGGTCTGGGAAAAGAAGTTAACATATCTGTTAGGATTCCGGTGTATACAACGGCTATAAAATTTGTAACATTTAGAAAATTCCCATGGCAATACATCATTTGTCACCTATAGCTAATCAAACAACACAGCCGGGCTGTAAAATGATATGTTACCAATCGAATTTTGCAAAGTTTGATGGCATTATTAAAATTCACTGCAGGGAAATTTGAATATGTCAAAGCATCCAATGGATTATTATAATTGCGTAATTCTTTACATTATTAAAAAATTCTTTAATAGTCCTGAACATTCTACAAGAGGCCCATGGGTCACATCGCTCACCTGAGCACTATAGCTTGGGAAAAAGCAGAAATCAATTTATTATTGGAAAGTTTAAACCCAAAAGTGGTTTCAACCAATCCTTAAAGAGCACAGGGTATGATTAGAACAAACTTGAATCTACACTAACTAAAGATGCTTCATATTTCTTTGACAACCTGTGGCTTTTTGTCCTTTACATTTGTACTTACATTGTATCCCCGCCCTACCCCAGGGGGTCATGACTTGAACAAACTTAAATCTACACTACCTGAGGATGCTTCCATATGGATATGACTAACAATGGCTTTGCCATTCTTGAAAAGAAAATTTATAAAGTTTTTTTTTCTACATATTTCTATGTAAAACTTGGAAATTTGAATCAACTCTACCCCCAGGGGTCATATCTTGAACAATCCTGAATATACACTACCTGAGGATGCTTCTGTATAAATATGATCATTCATGCCTTTGTATTCTTGAGAAGAAAATTTTAAAAGAATTTTCCTCTATTTTTCTATGTTAAACTTTAATTGGCCATTGTGACCCCACCCTACCCCCCCCGGGGGTCATGATTTGTATAAACTTTAGTCTACGCTTCCTGAGGATGCTTTCCTATAAGTTTCATTTTTCCTGGCACAATGGTTCTTGAGAAGAAGATTTTTAAAACATTCCACCAAATTTTCACTATTTCTGAATTATCTCCCCTTGAATAAGGGCGTGGTCCTTCATTTAAACAAATTTGAATCCCCATTACCCAAGGATACTTTGTGCCAAGCTTGGTTGAAAATTGGCCCAGTGGTTCTTGAGAAGAAGTAAAAAATGTGAAAAGTTTTCATACAGACAGACAGACGGACGCCGGACAAAATGTGATCAGAAAAGCTCACTTGAGCCTTCGGCTCAGGTGAGCTAATTAAAGTAAGGATGGAATTGATGTACTGACTGCAAGTATACACATTTTAAATTGCATTATATACATCTATGTTAGTTGTCGTTATCATCAAACAAGGCACACACACTTGTAAAATACTTACCTTTTTAAAACTGACATTTTCTCTGTGAATAACACGTCCCTGTTTGGCGCTGAAGACACACTCACTGTGGAATGAACCACGCGTGACTGGCACCCTTATCCCCGCGTTTTGTTTTGTTAAACTTATCAATGATGGTATCTTAACTTAATGATTTCGTTTTTCTTTATTTAATAATTTTTTTTATTTAATAATTTCGTTTTCTTTTATTTAATAATTTCGTTTTTTCTTTATTTATTTCTGGTTTGCACTATTGGGCTTTGTGGAAGCCCAATAGAGCTCAGCTAGAAGGTCAAGACCTTGCGTATAGTATTACTGGATTCCCATGAACTTAACCTAGCGTCCGATCTGTGTACCCATAAATCTTAGATTGTTGAAACTATAAAAAGAAAAATGATTTGATTACTTTGTGGGATTTCTTATGTACAATAGTGTGCATTGTTTGTTTATAAATATCACCGACTTATAAATATACAAATTGCGAGTTTGTCAATTAAAATATATGAGAACAAGAATTATAGTACCACTGACTTGTAAATAGTACAGACTGAGGGTTGGACATTTATAATATGTGAGAACAAGTACTAGTAGCCAGTACATCACCTCTAATTATGCGTTGATAAGATCAAGGACTCAACTGATTTGCTTTATTTCTAATTTAGTAAGCAATTATTAAAATCTACTTCTTGTAACCACTTTGACTCGTTTTACTTTTTGCACCTGTTCTCTTTAAACAATTTTTTAATATGTCAAACAAACCCAAGTCCGATCGATAACGTATTATTTTACACCTTTTTTTAATGAATGTATTGTGCGATAGTTGAATAATGGATAAGGGAATTTCCTGAATGTTAAAAATTCAACAATACGAGTTGTAAACAACGGAATCTTAACGTTCATGTTTTCTTAAATAGTTGTGCAATTAGATATCAAAGGTTAAATTCGTCCAATCCATGTATTGTAATGGATACGTTTTCGATTAAGGAAAAGGTGAATATAAAGGCAAACATCACACTTGTTTATTGTCGAAACAAAATCAGGTCTATCAGACGCGGTGCACTAATGATTTATGGGTTCAGACCCTTACCGTGCACCTCTATAAATTCCGTATTTTTGTTTCAGTTTTTCTACTTTTAATAATTTCGTTTTCTTTATATATTTTAATTTCGTTTCTCTTTATATATTAATTTCGTTTCTCTTTGTATATTAATTTCGTTTTCCTTTATATATTAATTTCGTTTTTCTTGATATATTAATTTCGTTTTCCTTTATTTAATAATTTCGTTTCTCTTTATATATTAATTTCGTTTTTCTTTATTTAATAATTTCGTTTCTCTTTATATATTAATTTCGTTTTTCTTTATTTAATAATTTCGTTTCTCTTTATATATTAATTTCGTTTTTCTTTATTTAATAATTTCGTTTCTCTTTATATATTAATTTCGTTTTTCTTTATATATTTTTGGTTTGCAATAATTTCGTTTTTCTTTATATATTTGTTTAATTTCGTTTTTTTTCAGCAGGTAAGAAATTTACCTGGAATTAAAAAGAAAGTACAGTAACTAATTGATTTCAGGTTGCTTTATATATTTTTTTAATTTTTGTTTTTTAATAATTTCGTTTTTCCATAATTTATTAGAATAATAATTTCGTTTCAAAAACATCTTATATATATAATAATTTCGTTTTTCTTTATATATCCAAAGATCAAAATTCCATTTCCGATAAAAGAGCATCTATTTCGACATCAGGCCCACCTGGTGGACAAGATTCAAAAGCATCAGAAGAGTCAGCAGTGGAAGTAACCAATATTGATAGTACAACCTGCAACGATGATGACATTAAGTCAAAAGACAGAAATGCTTCAACCGAAGAAAGATCTTCTTTATCGTCAAAAGTAGAAAGTAATAATTTTGCAGAACAAAATTCTGCAATATTTGAGGTCCCTGAAATTTTGACTGCTGAAGGGTTTGTCATAAAGCTTTATGTAACAGACTTGCTGGAAGCTGACGCAGATATAATTGTCAATGCTGCCAACGATAAATTGTCCCACGGAGCAGGCATTGCCTTAGCTATCGCCAGGGTAGCAGGTCCAGTGATGAGAAAAGAATGTAAGGACTACATCCAAAAGTATGGTACTCTTCCAGTTTCAAAAGCGTTTGTATCAGATGCAGGACATCTAAAATTTAAAAAGATAATCCATGTTGTCGGGCCCTCTTGGCCAGAATACACCAATAAGCTGGATTGTCTGAAAGATTTAGCAAGAACTGTAACGAACCTTTTAGAGAAGGCCAAAGAATGCAAAGTCAGAACTGTTGCCATGCCAACTATAAGTTCAGGTGAACATATAGATTTTAGTTAATTATTTGAGTGATATACATGTATAGTCAAACTAACCTCATTTAATAAAACTTTACCTTTTTATCTCTATCTACAGATATGCATGGTTGTTGAATTGAAAAGAAATCTAGATCAGTCAAAAATCAAATAAAAGAGATTCAGTTAATAAAATCAAATTTGAGGACAAAACCTTCGAGGCATTACATGAACTATCAGTTTCAACTTCACGTCAAAATTTATAATTCGAGGTCAAGAGATATAAAAAATTATTGGTCAAAGAAAGATCTTAATACAAGAAATAATCTAAAAATGTGAAACCTCTAGCACCAACCAATCAAAATGTATCAAGTGTCAAAAGTAATGGCACATAAAGAAAGAGTGTTTTACAACAAAGACATATCTGAGATAAGAAAGCCCTAGCACCAAACTAGTCAAAAACAATGGCCTTGGTTAAAGTTTCCAGAAAGTAGGCCAACCTCCAAGGTAAAAATATAAAAGGTCAAAACTGTTGTTACCAACAGAAGGTCTTGTCACAAGGAAAACTCAGAAAAGTGAAAGCCACATCTCCAACCAATAATAATGAATAATAGTATTTAAGTTTTTGCAGACAAACAGACGGACAGAGCAAATATGAAATCAAAAATATAAATCAATTACAAGGGCATAATTATTGAATTTGGCACTACTAAGTATATACCGTATATGTATGAGCCTTTCCTTTATGATGCTTTTTGAATATTATACTCGAATATTCTTTTATACAGGTATCTTCAGAGTACCAAAATCCCTGTGTGCTGCTATGTATCTGAAAGGCATCTTTGACTTTAGCAAACAGAAGAAGTTTGGATCACTTAAAGAGCTCCACATTGTTGATCTGTCAATGGAAGTCCTTGAATTAGTAAAGGAAAAGTATCAGCATTACTTAGCTTTTAAACAGGCCATTGATCCAGCGTGGTTGGTTGTAAGATACCACAGTGAGGAAGAAACAAAGACAACACAAAGTAAAACAACAACATCAACACAGGCCTCAAAGGTGTCAGAGAAAACCCAAGACAAACCAAACAGAGGAAAAGCTTCTGTATCAAATCCAAAGGAAAGTAAAAATTCTGAAAACCCTTCAATGAAAATCACCAAGATAGGCAATGTGTGTGTTTACATATATACAGGCGATATCGGTACGCTATCAGATTTAGACATCGCCGTTAGTAGTGAAAATCCATACTTCACGGGAAAAGGCGGTATTGCATCTAATTTTCTTTCAAAGGGAGGAAAAAAGTATAGAGAAGAACATGAAAAATTACAAAAACATGCACCGTTTACCTTATATTCTACAAAAACCACCTTGGGATATGAGACAAACTTTAAGAAAATCTGCCATGCTATTATCGTTGCCTTCTCGAAAGCTAACCCGTTTTTACCTCATCATCATATACCCTATAGAAATTTCATACATGGTATACTATACCAAGTGGACCACCTGGCAGGGCAAAAGTGTGGCAGAAAAATGAAAAATCTTCAGTCCATTGTTATGCCACTTTTAGGAGCAGGTAAAAGTATTTTTCCTCATTATTAAGATTTTATCCTTAGAGTTTCTTTTTAATAACTTGTAAATAAATATATACCGGTATTATTATTTTTAAAGGTAATCTTCAGGATCAAAATACCATCAAAACTCTTTGTACTCTTACTCGTGATGCGATAGAATGGTATGCCTGGTCACAGCCCTCAAATATAACGCAGATACATCTTGTTAATGTGCGGGATGGGTTTACACAAACGTTGGACAAAACCTTTAAACAGCCGGGTATAAATCTTCCGGTTTCTAAAGGTAACATTGCAAAATCTTCCAAGTTTGATTCTAGGCCTTTTCAATATATTTACACTTGGAAGGTGCCATCAAAAGATCAAACAGTAAGGTTTACAGACTTCATAAAGCAGTCAGAAAATGCCGAAGACAATACCTGCATCATCTGCATGGATGAAATGACGAAGCCCGTCGAATTTACTAGATGTCATCATCAGTTCTGCGAGGAATGTATTGCGGGATATTTTTCTGTAAAACCAGTTTGCCCCGTCTGTAATGTTGTTTACGGAAAACTTTACGGAATTCAACCCGCCAACGGAGAAGCTAAAATTTTCAAGGACACGAAATCACTGCCAGGATTCCCAAAGACAGAGACTTTCATCATCAGCTACGAATTTCCGGACGGGAAACAGGAGGTAAATATAAGGGCCGTTTCGTTTTAGGCCTTACTAGAATTTTTATTTGTCTTGATACACAATGACCCCATTCATGAAAATTCCAGACGACGAATGCTTCACATAAATTTCCTTTCCAATTTTTTTTCCCCTTGTTTCTTTGTAGCAATGCCACCCAGAACCAGGTAAACCATATACTGGGACACAAAGACAGGCTTATCTTCCAGACAACGAGGAGGGCATGGAAGTTCTCAATTTACTGGAGAAAGCCTTCAAACAGAGATTGGTGTTCACTATAGGTGTCTCTCGCACCACAGGGAAAGAAGGTGTGGTTACTTGGAATGACATTCATCATAAAACTAGAAGAGATGGAGGTCCAGAAAGGTACTGTGTATAACAATTATATAATATAGATGCTTACAAATATTTATTTATTTTAAAAATTAATGAATATCTTCTTTATTTATTTTTTTAATTCCAGTGTGATTTTTTTTTCTTATCACCATAAAGATATTTTAACAAAATCACAAACAAGCCTATTTTTCTAGAAATTACAAGTAAATAAATAAATAAATAATAGAGAAACAAATGGTATTAACATTAAAACGTGTTGTTCTAAGAATTTAGCACGTTGGACGATATTAAGTTCAAAATGGTACGATTGAAAGAAACAACAAGAAGTGTTTGTGAAACACTATGCACCCGGCACAATAAAGTTCGAAAAAGCTTTTTTAGCATAGAGGTCACAGTCAAGGTCACAAGGTCATTGACCTTGGTGTTATTTGAAAGATCCTAATTAGTGGAGTATGCATACAAAATATGAAGTATCTATCTCTCATGGTTCAAAAGTTATGGTGCAGGTTAAAGTTGTCAACAGACAGATGGACAAACATATTGGATATAAACAACATACGCCCCGGATCTATCGATAAGGGCACCTAAAAATAATCTTGGAAACAATTGTACACAATCAGGTCAATTTAAACATAGTCAAAATTAAAAAGAAAGAATGACTGAAAATCTTAAAGTAACAGTATTTACATGTTTACAATACAGAGACATTCTTATGATGTTAAAAGTTGGGTTTATTTCAGTATATAATTTTGTTCAAAACAGAAATTGTAAAGTTTCCAAATTGCAAATCTCAATATTCGACTTAAAAATCTTCTTTGAAAGAAATTTAAATCTAAAAACAGAAAAATTACTAATTTAATTAACCACAAAACATCTCTTTTTCCAGATTCGGATATCCAGATGAGGAATACTTAACACGAGTGAAAGAAGAACTTTACGTCAAAGGAATTACCCTTTAGTCATAGAATATTTGATAGAAAAAATGTGGATTGCATTATGTATGAATTCATTTGAAATTCCCTGAGCAATATCAGTTTTCGTGCAACGTGGTTAATAGCTCTTCAAGTGTGGTAAATGATTTAAATTCTATGTACGTTAAAGGATTCAGAAAAAAGAGAGAATATGAGGACAATTTCCTTTGGCATATTGATAAATTGCATTTACATTGTTATTTTGACCCACGACCTCCGCCCAATACCAACCCATGTACAGATAAATCATGGCTACTAACACTATTTGCGAACATATCAAAAGTTATGTTTCAATAAATACATACAACTTTTTCACACCTTTTAACCACCAAATTACCCCCTCCCACCCCACCCACCAAAAACCACGATTAAGCCACCTCGTGTTTGATTACGTGCTTATGCATGACACGTATAATTTATTTTACATTTATTTGAAAATATGTAATAAAAAAAAATTCATGTACATGTTGTTTTTAATTGTTTTTCTTTAAAGTTTGAAAGAATTTATAAAGTCTTGATTTATTGAGAAGGATAATTACACCACAAAGATGTCAAAAAGATGTACAAAGTGGTCTATTTATGAACTCTGGCATCTAAATTTTGTAGAGACACAATTTCAAGAATGACATAAATATGGAGTATATATAGTCAATAGTTGATACACGAAGATATATTTATCATGCCAAATTCTGGATTAGTAACGTCAGAAAAATCAACGAACTTTAATTTGCTGCAAATATAAGATGGTCCGAAGAGGTCACCTAATGATTTAGTAGACAGGATCAAAACGTTCTAAACATCAAAAGTATTATTGTTAGCATTGAAAATAAAACAAGAGACCTAGGGGCCACATCGCTCACCTGACCAACTAGCTAGGTAAAAACGAAAATCAGATCAGTATTGAAAAGTTTAAATATAAAAGGGGGTTCAGTGGAAGGGGGGAGGCTGTGTTTGAACAAACTTAAATTTTTACTTTTTATGCTTTTATATTGATGATCAATCATGGCTTTGTTGTTTTTGTGAAAAATTGTTACAATTTTTCCTGTGTATTCCTACATAAAACCTTGATCCCCCAATGTGGCCCCACTTTACCCACAGGGTTATGATTTGAACAAACTTGAATCTACCCGAAGATGCTTTCATATAAATATGAACAATCACAGCTTTCCTGTTCTCGAGAAGACAAATTCAAAAGATAATTTTTCTATGTTATCCATTTTAAAACTCTGATCACCCATTTTGGCCCCACCTTTGCCCCAGGTACACTACTTGGGGATGATTTCATATAACTATGACTTTGTTGTTCTTGAGAAGATTTTTAAAGATGTTTTCTATGTATTGTTATGTTGAACTTTGCTATTCCATTCAGACTCCGGCCACCAAACCCCCCCTGGGGTCAAGATTTGAACAAACTTAAATCTACACTACCAGAGGATGCTTCCATATAACTATGACCAGTCATGGTTTTGCTATTCTTGAGAAGAAGATTTGTAAAGATTTTTCCTACATATTCCTTTGTAAAACTTTGACACATCACTGTGGCCCCATCCTGCCCCTGGGGGTCTTGATTTGAACAAACTTGAATCTACACTATCGGAGGATGCTTCCATATAAATATGACCAATCATGACTTTGCTGTTCATAAGAAGATGGTTTTCAAAGAGTTTTCCTATGTATTTCTTTGTTAAACTTTAATACGCCAATGTGGCCCCAGCCTTCCCCTGGGGTTCATAATTTGAACAAACTTGAATTTATACTATCAGAGAATGCTTCAACTTGAGTTTCACCTTTCCTGAGAAGATTTTTAAAAGATGCCATTACTAATTCATTATTATCTCCCCTTGATGAGGGTGTGGCCTTTCATTTGAACAAACTTGCATCCCATTTACGCAAGGATACCTTGTGCTGTTTGGTTGAAATTGACCCAGTGGTTCTTGAAAAGAAGATGAACAAGAGGCCCAGGGGCCACATCGATCACCTGAGCAATTGGCTAGGAAAAAACACAGATCAGATCAAAACTGAAAGTAAACTGGGGGGGGGGCTTGATTTTTACACCCCCCCAGGGAAAAGTTTACGACGACAACAACGACAACGACAACAACGACGACAGACAACGGACAAATTTTGATCAGAAAAGCTCAGTTGAGCCTTCGGCTCAGGTGAACTAAAAAGTGAAAAGTTTACAACAACAACGACGACACCGCCGACGACGACGACAGACAACGGACAAAATTTGATCAGAAAAGCTCTCGTGTGCCTTCGGCTCAGGTGAGCTAAATAAGAGTGATGAGGTAAATGTATATAAGAAGTAGTAACGGTGAGATCCAAAATTTATGTCTATAGTATCAATTGGACCACAGCTAGAGACCTGACCTCTCATTTCATCTATAAAAAAAAAATACCAATCACAACAACTCCGCTATTTCGAGATAAAATTTTCGTCTGCCATTTGATTATTATATATACAAGTTGAGCTGATAATTTGATTATCCTGTCTTCATTCTTTATTTCAGGTAGAGTTTATCATTTAGATCTTTATGATAGTGAAGTGCTTCACATACTGAGAATATATGACATATTTGAATTATATTGCCCTTTCTTTATCGATATACATCGTTCATTATCTATCTTTATTGATAGTATGTATTCACATGCGATTCATGAATGTTCAGTTCTATACAGCGCAACTATTTAGAACTACGTAACTTTTAGGTAAGTCCCAAAATACACTTCTTTCACATTTGCAATTTGAATTATTCTCTACTTATGGCCTTAAAAACCGGGGGTGGGGGTGGGGGTGTCCCCCAATAATTTTGCCGATATAGTTTTCTGTAGAAAACATGCAGTATACTACAGAAAACACAAAGTAATACTAGAGAAAACAGTTACAGGATTAGTTACTTTTGTTTTTTCACAACTAACATTGCCGCCTACAAAAATGGTAAAAGAAAGATTCGACACTTTTAAAGAGAATAGGCTTGGATAATTTTCAATAGGTATTTAGAAAGGATATATTGACCTGTTTGCTTTATTTATGTCCCAGATTGCTGCATCCCTAATGCATCTCCACAGAAATAGTTTGTTTCAATACCTACCCTTCCCCTTTTTATTTCACTAAAACAAAGTTAAAACCTTATCAGTTGTAAGATTGGAGGCTGTGAACATGAAATATTACAAATTCTAAATTTCATCTCATTACATTTCTTTTCTCAAATAAAAGAAGTACAATGACATGAACTTTCTGAGCGACCTTTTGACATGATACTGAACGTATATGATGTTTATTTTAGAGACTAGAAATTCAATTAAAAAATTAAACAAATGTGTCAACAACAATATCAGTAATACTTTCAATTTTTATCAATCAAAAAGGAAAACACAATATCGAATATGATATTTTTAAAAACACTCTTTACTTTACAGATTAGATTTAGCATCCCACAATTAGTATTATGGATCAGGAAAAAGTATCCCAAAATAATTCATCGAAGGAGAAAGTCACCTACCTAGGCGGAGACCCTGAAGAGAGAGCGAAAGCTGATAAAGCCCTCAAAGAAATTTGTAGTGATGGAAATGTCTCATACGTAGTGTCATCGGATCAAACACACTGCTTTCTCTATGCCAAAGCTGTAGGAGAGGCAGAGAAGGCTGCCGAAAGGTATAATGAATTAATAGGTTGTAGATATGACAACAAAGAAACGGGAAATGAGAGTGTTGAGCTTACGACCAAAGAATCAGAAGAAAACGGTAGTAGTCATGTTGCCAATCATGGGAATAAAAACAACGAGGAAGAAAAAGAAGAAAATGAAAATGATACACATATTGCAGAAGAGGCAGAATTATTTCATGCAAATACCAAAGTAAAAACAGTGAAACCCCCAGAAAGTGAAACAGATGAAGAGAAAAGCAACATCCAAAACAGAGGTGAAAATCAGTCCATAAAAAGAAATTCCGCTTCCGATAAAAGATCATCTACTTCGACATTAAGATCACCTGACATACCAGTTTTTTTATACATCAAAAGAGTCAGAGAACGAGACATTCAATAACAATACCCGTAGTACACCCTGCAATGATAATGACCTTCAGGCAACAGACAGAAATTCTTCAACCGAAGAAAAGTCTTCTACCTCGTCAAAAGGCATAGGAAGTAAACAAAATTCTGAAATCACTGAAATTTTGACTGCTGAAGGATTCGTCATAAAGCTTTACGTAGATATAATTGTCAATGCCACCAACGATAAATTGTCACATGATTCAGGCACTCCAGCAATGATCGCCAGGAGAGCAGGTCCAGTGATGAGAAAAGAATGTAAGGACTACATCCAGAAGCATGGAACTCTTCCAGTTTCAAAAGCGTTCCTATCAGGTGCAGGACAGCTAAAATTTAAAAAGATTATTCATGTTGTTGGGCCCTCTTGGCTAGAATACACAAACAAGCTAGAATGCCTGAAAGATTTAGCAAGAACTGTAACTAACCTTTTAGAGAAGGCCAAAGAATGCAAAGTCAGAACTGTTGCCATTCCCACCATAAGTTCAGGTGAATATATGAATTAAAGTTAATATTTTTTTTTCGTATTTTTTTCAATTATGATTACTTTAGAAAAAGATTCAAGGGTTTTTTACTGGCTAGTATGTCATGAGTGTAATTCAATGTACGATGAAGACATTAAAAATCTCCTCTTGATGTTTTAGTCTTACAATTGTTGAAAATAGGTACTTAGTATGTCGACTAGATCAAACTTGATATTTATTGATATGTCAAAAATCAAAGTAAAAAGACACAAACAGGATAAAGCACTTTTTCGGATCCGTGTAAATGGAAGTACTTGCCTTTAATCTGACCATACATAGTTCTGTTTGAAAGGTTGAAATGTCAAAGATAATGTACAAACTAACATTATTTAATAACACTTAGCCTTTTTGCCTCAGAGTCTGTTTACAGAAAAGCATGGTTGTTAACTTGAAAAAAAATTGATCAAAGCTAACTAAAAGAGAATGAATTAAAAAAAAAAATCAAACTTTGAGGACAAAACCTTATAAGCATCACATGAACTATCAGTCCCGAACTTCTTAATAATTAAACTATTTTTTTTTCAAATTCAAGCCGAAATTCGAGGTCAAGAGATGAAAATTATTGGTCAAAGAAAAGTCTTGCCACAAGGAATAATCTAAGAAATATGAAACATCCAGCACCAACCAATCAAAATGTATGATCAAAGATTAATTTTTTAAGTAATGAGTCAAACTCTAAGTTCGTGGTTAAAGTGTCAAAAGTAATGACACATAAAGAAAGAGTGTTTCACAACAGACATATCTGAAATAGGAAAGCCCTAGTGCCATGGCTTCTAAAAAGGAGATCAACCTCCAGGGTCAAAAATAAAAAGATCAAAACTGTTGATACCAACAAAAGGTCTTGTCACAGGTAAAACTCGGGTGAAATTTAAAAGCCATAGTTCCAACCAACCAGAATTGGTAAGGTTAGAATTTTTACAGACCAAGAGACGGACAGAACAAATATTACAATCTTCAATCTTTTCAGGTCATAAATATTAAATTTGGCAATACTAAGTATATAAAAGTATGCATAAGCCTTTTCTTTAATTATGCTTTTTAAAAATAATATTTAAATATTCTTTTACACAGGTATTTTCAGAGTACCAAAATCCTTATGTGCTGCAATGTATCTGAAAGGCGTCTTTGACTTTAGCAAACAGAAGAAGTTTGGGTCACTTAAAGAGCTCCACATTGTTGATCTATCTATGGAAGTCCTTGAATTAGTTAAGGAAAAGTATCAGCATTACTTAACTTTTAAACAGGCCATTGATCCAGCGTGGTTGGTTGTAAGATACCACAGTGAGGAAGAAACAAAGACAACACAAAGTAAAACAACAACATCAACACAGGCCTCAAAGTTGTCAGAGAAAACCCAAGACAAACCAAACAGAGGACAAGCTTCTGTATCAAAACCAAAGGAAAATAAAAATTATGAACACCCTTCAATGAAATCCACCAAGATAGGCAATGTTTCTGTTTTCATATATACAGGCGATATTGGTACGCTATCAGATTTAGACGTCGCAGTTAGTAGTGAAAATCCACATTTCACAGGAAAAGGTGGTCTTGCAGCTACCTTTCTTTCAAAGGGTGGAAAAAAGTATAGAGAAGAACATGAAAAGTTACAAAAAAGTGCACCATATTTTTTATATAGCCAAGTAATGACCTTGGGATATGATATGAGCTTTAAGAAAATCTGTCATGCCATTATCGTTGGCTTTTCAAAAACAAAGCCATTGCTATTTCACCACCACAGGCACTATACGAATTTTGTTTGTGGAATACTATTTGAAGTGAACAACTTGGCAGGACAATCATTTGGAAGAAAAAAGAGCAGTATTCAGTCAATTGTTATGCCACTTCTTGGAGCAGGTAATATCATTTTTCTCCACGATGATTTTTTTCTCAAAATTCCGTTTACTTGTTTATAAATATAGATTTCTTTTTAGGTAATCTTCGGGATCCGAATACTATCCAAACCCTTTGTAGTCTTACTCGTGATGCAATTGAATGGTATGCCAGGTTCAAGCCCTCAAATATTACACAAATATATCTTGTTAACATGCAGGATGACTTCACAAAAATGTTGGAAGCAACCTTTAAACAGACAAGCTTAAAACTTCCTATTTCTGGAGGTAACGTTAAAAAAACCTTAAAGTTTGATTCTAGGCCTTTTCAATACATTTACACTTGGAAGGTACCATCAAAAGATCAATCAGTTAGCTTGGCGGACTTCGTAAAGCAGTCAGAAAACACCCAAGACAATAGCTGCATCATCTGCATGGATGAAATGACGAAACCTGTTGAATTTACTAGATGTCATCATCAGTTCTGCGAGGAATGTATTGTTGGATATTTTTCTGTAAAACCAGTTTGCCCGTCTGTAATACCGTGTACGGAAAACTTTATGGAATTCAACCTGCCAACGGAGAAGCTAAAATTTTCAAGGACACGAAATCACTGCCTGGATTCCCAAAAACAGAGACTTTCATCATCAGCTACGAATTTCCGGACGGGAAACAAGAGGTAAATATTAAGCCCTTTTCGTTTTAGGCCTTCCTAGAATTTTTATTTGACTGTCTTGATACACAATGACTCCATTCATGAAAATTCCAGACGACGAATGCTTCACATAATTTTCCTTTCTTAGATTCTTTTCATTCGTTTATTTGCAGGAATGCCACTCAGAACCAGGTAAACCATATACTGGGACACAAAGACAGGCTTATCTTCCAGACAAGGAGGAGGGCATGGAAGTTCTGAATTTACTGGAGAAAGCCTTCAAACAGAGATTGGTGTTCACTATAGGTGTCTCTCGCAACACAGGGAAAGAAGGCGTGGTTACTTAGAATGACATTCATCATAAAACGAGGCGAGATGGAGGTTTAGAAAGGTCTAACATTTAGTTGATATAAATGTTTTCAAATATCTATCAATCTTAAAATTAAAGAATAATAATTTCTTTGTAAGATTTGTTAAATTCAACGGTTTATTTTTCTCTTTTCATCATAAAGATATTTGAAAAAAAATCACAAACTTATTTTCTATAAATTACAAGTACTAGTAAATAAATGATTTTTTTTAAATGGAGGATCAAAAGGTATATACATTAAAACATTGCATAGTTCTAAGAATTTTTCACGTGCGATAACAAGTTCAAGCTGGTACATGTATCATTGAAACAAAACGAAAAATTCATCTGGGTAAAATTGTACAAAATCAGGTTAATTTAAAAATGGTCAAAATTAAAAGAAAGAATGAATGAAAATGACAGAATTTGCATGTAAACAAAAGAGAGACGACCTTAAAATGTATTTTAAAAATCATTTTATTTTAGATATATTGATTTCGTTCAAAACAGAGAAATTACAATAAAAATCACCAAACATCTTTTTTCCAGATTCGGATATCCAGATGAGGAATACTTATCACGAGTGAAAGAAGAACTTAATGTGAAAGGAATTACTCTTTCGTCATGAAATATTTAATTTTAAAAAATGTGAATTGCATTATGTATGAATTGATTTAAAAATCCCTGAGCAATTTTATTTTCCCGAGGTACTCAGTAAATAACTCTTAATTGTGATAAATGATTTGGATGCTGTGTAATTCGGGAAGATCCAGAAAAGGAAGAGATATTTTCTGGACCATATACTTAAATTGCATATTGATCAACTGAATTTAGTTTACATTGTTGGATATCGGCAGAGTTAACCTTCCCCTCCTCCTAACCCCCCCCCCCTCCCCAATGTACAGATGAATGGTGGCTACTGGCAACTTTTGAGCGATTTCGCTAGTAACATATCTTCCTTTGCTCAGTGTATAAAACTCATGTCACACCTTTTAACTCCCACCCACCCCCCAACCAACCGTTATGCTTGTGTATGAGTGATTTATTTTTTAAAGGAGAAAATTATTATGCTCATTAAAATATATATGCATGTTGTTTTACGTTGTTTTCTTTACAACAATTGGCAATATTTTTACTTATTGAGAATAATTTTGAAATTACAAAGATGCCAAGGAGATTTACATAGTGGTCTATTTCAAAAAGGTGCTATATCGATTTTGTATATAGAAACACAATATACTGATATATGCACAGACGAGGACAAATTCCGGGTTAATAAAGTCAGACCAATCAAAGTTATAGGAAGATGTTAGGTTACATTAAGAAAATATCTATGGAATTTGCTGCAAAGATAAAACTGTCAGGAGAAGTCACCTGATGACTCAGTAAACAAGATGAAAGTATTACTGTAAGCATTAATAATAAAAATTGTTCCAAACGGATAGATTTTCAAGTTGTTTTGATTTGAGTAAAGATGTCATCAGCAATCAAGTACATGTATAAAAGCAGTTGTGGGGAGATCCAAGCTTTAAGTTAACAAGTATAAGATGAAAAAGACTACGATCCTCAGAGAAATAAATATTCCAATCATGCACCCCAGCTCGATCTGCTTATTCGGAGATAAAAATTTTCGTCTGCCATTTGATCATTATTTATAAGTTGAACTGATAATTTGATTCCTCATGCAGTCATTATTCTTTATTTATATATAGACTTCATCATGTAGATCATTTACATGTAGATATTTTTGGTAGTGAAATTGCGGCACAAACATATACTATATATGAAGGCATTTTAATTATCTTCCCCTTGGCTTATCGGTATATATTTTTAGTACATTAACTATCGATGGTCTATTCACGTGGATTCGTGGACATTTAAGATTAATTCAACACTGTTCAGCTACTTCTTCCTAGGTTTTAGGTAAGTCCCAGAATATACTTTCTATTAAACTATTCACACAATTGCACTTTAAATATTTCATTATCAAAAAGCATTTTATTTAATTAGATCATTTATCTGTACGATGTGAAGATCTACTTTCGGTTTCATTTTGATTGAATAGAATGCAAATTCAATTTTATCTGTTGATTCTAATCTTTAAAGAAAGGCCATATAATTTTTATTTAAAAAATACTTTTGACTTTTGAAAAATGATGTAGGTTAAAAGATCTTTTAGGATTGATAAATTGGATGAACGTCAATTTCCTGGTATTATCACTTTAAATCTACTTTCGATTTCGATTTATTTTGATGCCTAAAAGTAATATTCATTCATATTATTTTAGCTACTTAGCATTTAAAAAAACATTAGGAAAGGATGGCCGACGGAAATATCTCGATCATTGGAGCTTCTAGTGATGAGGAATCGGATAAAGAAAATGCTGATTCAGAAAGGAGTGCAACGGCAGGGTCCAATGCAGGTTCACTTCGTCGCGGGAACACGTCAAAAGAGAAAGGTGAATATCGTAATGCAACCTTTTCAACCGTTTCTTCAAAACTTTTGTTAAACATAAATACTTAATATATATATATGAATAATTTTTATCATGTATATATGTGTTTTTCCTGAATTTATGCAAATATTATGTATTACCATTTATAAATGATGCCAATTAAAAAAACGTCTATAATTTAATTTTCTTGATTTAGAGCAACAACAGGAGAAGATATCATCGCCAATTACATCAAAAGTAAGATAACGCGTTTGTCTGTGCGAAATTTATACTTTGAACAGATTAAAACTTTAAAAAAGAAAAAACGTCTTTATCAGTAGTTGCTTAGAGTTTTTTGCAAAATAATGTATTATAATGCAATACGTTTAAGATCTTTTTAAGAATTCATTACAAAAATTATCATCAAATTATAGAAGTCTAAAATGAGAAATCTTAGTCATTTTATAAAATAACTTTTAAGTTAAATATTTTGCTTTTATACCTCCAACAACATGCACTTATGCCTCTGATCAGATAAGGAATAAATTTGTTGTTTGAACTTCCAGAAGACTAGAGTAAAAACTTTCGAGGGGCTCGCAGCGAAACAGCTTCTGATGTTTTTTCACAGTGATTTAAATGATGACAAGGTAGAGGTGCAGTTTTCACCGTTCAAAGGAAAGGAAAAGGTTACATTGTCGTCCCCAAATCCAACGCTAATAGCCACTAAGAAACAACAACTAGAAAAATTGATAGAGAGTTTACAATTTAAAGATGTCAATTTCACGAATGGAACATTAACTGAAATTGAAGAAATGGTAGAAACACATTCTCTAAAAATTGTGTTCAGTGAAGATTCAGACAACAAGCTAAGAGTTTACTACAAAGATCAGTCTGAATTCCAAAAATTTGAGAGCCTTTTGAAAGCTGAAGAAACTCCAGATATTACATCTAGAGAAACAGAAGAAAAGAGAAGAATCGACAGACGGGGTCGAACGTTTAGTGAAACCTTTTCTGAAGCATCCCCGGCTTCCCCATCTTCTGATCAAGAGGACACTGAAAAGTATAAAAGTAAGCTTCATTGGAAATCAAAAACCGAACCCTCAAATGGTTCAGTTTCAAGTGCCGAGAAAAACACTTTTACTTCTTCCACTTCTTTAGGAGAAAATATTACAGTTAAAGACAGTTTCACGGTAAAAGGAATTCATGTTAAAGTATATCAGGGATCAATCATCAAGGCAGAGGTAGATGGTATTGTCAATGCAGCGAATGATCGTCTGAATAATTGTGGAGGAGTAGCTGAAGTCATTTCAAAGGCTGCAGGGTATGAAATGGAAAGAGAATGTAGAGAAAGAATGGGCAATTGGCATAAGATAAGGGTATCTGAAAATGTCGTGACCAAAGCCGGTAAATTAAAGTGTCAGTGGATAATCCATGCCGTTGGACCTCGTTGGGATGGCTACACAAATAAAGAAAATGCCCTCATGGATCTTTATAAAACAGTGGTTAATATTCTTAAAACTGCATCTGAACATGGAATGAAATCGGTTGTTATGCCTCCCATAAGTTCAGGTAAGTGTAAAAATTGAAAATACTTTTGCAGAGGTCACCATCACAGTTCTATGTTATTGCTGAATATAAATGTCATTTTATTTAATTATATTTCAGGAATTTTTGGGGTCCCAAAAGAAGCCTGTGCCGCAATGTATGTAAAGGCATTACTCGATTTTGCGGAGATTCCTAAGTATGAAAAACGGCTTCAAGAATTTTACTTTGTGGACAACAAAGACGATATACTGGGATTAATAAGCAGAGAATATCAAGATGGCCTCAGTAAGGGAACAGTTTATTTAGAACCAAGAAAAGTTATCGAACGTCTGGGAATAGCATCATGGAATGTAAGGGGCCAAAAGCAAGGCAGTGGTACAGGCTCAACAACAACTGCCAATATAAATAATTATTACTCCAGGGGTTCACAAGGGGATTCAAGTGGTAATGGAAATAACCAGAAAGCGTCCGTGAATAATGTTCAAAATCCCCCAATTCCTTCTACATGTGTAAAGTTCTTGAAAAAGGATGCTAAAGGTAGTGATGAGTATCTTGTAGGAGAGAGTTTGAAAGTACATATTTATCAGGGAAGCATCATTGAAGCGATGAATGTCAGTGTGCTTGTTTGTGCAGAAGGGCGTGATCAACATGGTCAAGGTTTTGTTGCCAAACAAATCTTAGAAAAGGCTACGAAAAACCAAAAAAAGGAAATTTCTAAACTCTTTAAACAAGCAAAACACCTTCAATGGTCTCAGGTACTACCGTTGAATATCGGATTTCTTCATTATAAATCAGTTTTTTATGCAATAATAAAGAAATTTTCGAATGAAAAACCACAGAGTGAGGGCTTAGATATGTTGTGGAGAACAACTTCAAATATCCTTGAAAATGCAAATAAGAAGAAAAGGAAAGCCCAACCATTATCAGTTGCCATATCTCTGCTCGGCACAGGTATGTAGACACTTATTAAAATAATATACAAGTGTTAAAGAGGCAGCAATAGTTAAGGAGGCTAGGGGGTCAACAAATTAGCCTTCATTTATAACTTAAATTTTTAGATATGGTATCTTAAGCTGTCAACTTCCATTTCGCAAAGAAAAATCGGATACATTTTCGTTCTAAAATTTGATCATTTTTTTTTATATCTTTATAAGAAACTCTTCTTCTTAAGGAGACCAAAATAGTCTGAATATAACAACAGCCCCCAGCCCCTTTAAGCATTTGTGTAAATTTACTTTTGACCTTTTATTCTAGGCTCTATTAAGAATACAGAATATTTACAACAGTATGCTGATGTTGTGAGCAATTGCATTTTGGACTTTTCAAAACAAATAAAAATGGATTCAAGGCTTCAAGAAATACATCTAGTGAACCATAATGCATCTGCTACAGAGGCACTGAAAAGGGCATTCGCTGCAATGCAAGAAAATAAACAGGACAAACCAAGAAGACGATGGGCACCAAGTAATGTTTCAGGTAACGACTTAAAACGAACACAGTTTGATCCCAGTAAATATGAATTTGAAGAAACATGGAATGCAAAGAAGAAAACAGAGGCTCGTTTAGAGGACTTCATCGAGATATGCACCAAAACACGAAAACACAAACGTCAAGACACGAAAAAGCAGGTAAATTCAAATCAGACAAAGGAAAACAACCTTGCACAGGGAAATATTAATCTGATTAATGATTCCTCCGATGACGAAGACGATAAGCGAGCAGAAAAACATCAAGCAGCTGCAGAAGATACGAAAGATGGCGATTCCGATTACGATAACGTAGAGTCAGATGAAAGCGAGAGATTCACATGCGTTGTTTGTATGGATGACGAAATGGAAGATCCAGTACTGCTCAAAAAGTGCCGCCATAAATTTTGTCGAGAGTGCATTGAAGAATATTTTTCCAAAAAACCCACTTGTCCTGTCTGCAATACAGTATACGGTGAGGTATTTGGGAACCAACCAGATGGAAGTGCAAAAGTCTATAAAGACAAGACATCGTTACCTGGGTTTAAATGTCCTACCATCATTATTCATTACGACATCCCAAATGGCGTCCAATCAGTAGGTAGTTTTGTTTCATTTCAATTAAATTTCGAAAAAGGCATGATTTATATTTCTAATAATCAATTTATTGCATTTCAGGAGGAACATCCTAATCCTGGTGTTGATTTCACTGGAGTTTCCCGCCAAGGGTATCTTCCTGATAATAAAGAAGGAAGAAAGATCCTTGGGATGCTGAAGCGTGCTTTTGAACATCGTCTTATTTTCACAGTTGGATATTCTAGAACTTCCGGAAAAGACAATATGGTCACGTGGAACGACATCCATCACAAAACCAGAAGAGAAGGAGGACCTGAAAGGTATTCAAACAAATCAATTATTACTCTTCAAAACAATTCAATTAGATATACCTCCTATGTGTTTGCGTGTGTTTTAAGTAGAAAGCAACACGAGATATAAAATGCATTGTCAGGGTAAAAAAAAATGAAATAATTTGGCATATCCCATGGAACACTTTTGACTAATACATGTAAGAGGGATACAGTAAGTCTTGGGATTAATCATATTTCTACTTATAAAAGTTGACAGTTAATATCATTTAGAGATTGCCATCAAACTTGATGTCAATAGAAGTGTTTTAATGCCTCCTGTGATGAAAAAATGTAAAATGTTTCCATTAAATGTTCAATAAAAGGAAAAACATCTCTCCTTCCTTGTATTTAAAATTTAGGTATTTTCATTATGAAACTAGTACAATTATAAAGTTAGAATGTTTTGATTACAGATATGGGTATCCAGACCCCGAGTATCTAGAAAGAGTAAAAGATGAGCTAGAAGCAAAGGGAATCACAGAGAAATCATTTTAAATGGACAAACAACGTGAAAGAAGACATTATTTTGAACACCCACCTTCTTTTTTTTTTAAATAAAAATGATTTTGTTATTTTCATTCTACCCATTTATTGCATTGCAGAATGAATTGGAATTGATATGTAGATAATTAAATATGACAATTACTGAGGCAATATGTTACAAATAACAGACTACCAAGAGTCAATTTAACTTTTAAAGGATTGCGTTTCTTCCATGCTATATCCTCGATTAGATATATCGTAGTTTAGGTTATTTAAGGAGAAGTCTGTATAACTGTATTTTTAAGTACATACTAGTGCACAAAAAATATGATTACATAACAATTATACAGTCACATTTATCAGATAACGTAGCTGTATAGATTGGATATTCTAGTAAAAATAACTTTAAGCATGCTCTAAAACAGAAGCTTTGTTTGACATTATCTATTCCAAAGATATGTTCTCAAAACAATGGTTTCTATAGTTTACATGTTTACTAAGACAAAAATGGAAACTTTACTTACATTTTTGATCCCCTGCTCTGTTAAACAAAAGCATTTAGGGGATTTCTCAAAAGGGTTAAAGTATAAAGAGTAGGAATCGTATTTAAATTCAAATGCATTAAGTCATATTCATACGCAGAGCAATTCTACAAGAATTTATTAAGACGGGGGGACAAAGTTCTTTCTTTTGAAATTCGTTATGTTTCTTTATTTATCAATATATGTATGATCCGCCTATCCACTGCTGGATTTAACAATTTTTTTTTATTCTTTACCGCCAAAAGTTTACAAATCTCACTCTTTTGTTGATTTATTTTTTGAATTATATTTATTATCATCATGTTGTTAATTATGTACTCATATTATTAAAATGTATAATCTCAATTTTTTGTTTCTCTTTTTTTAGAATAAACTAATGGTATAAAAAATTTTTTATTTGTTTTTTGCATTTTTATTTTTGTGCACAAATTCAGATTAGTTATTTAACTGATACTTTAATAGGGGCTAGTGTTATTTGATTTTTAATTGTCAATTTATTTTGTATTACTGTGACCAGCCACTTTTGCATCGTTAGCAAAGCACAAGCTAGTACATGTATTGGCGTGTTCCCATTTCGCCTTAACTGTGAAATTCGGGTAAGAAAAAGTTAAAAAGCACTAAGGCGAAATGGGAATTTTAGTATTTGTAAATATTGTTACTGGGTTGATGTAAAAATTTAAATGATAAATTTTTTTAGATTGAATTTAACAATTCATGGGGATTTATGAATACTGTGAATGAAATAATACGTGTAATACCAAAAATTACTTTATGGTATATATATATATTTAATCTTCATCACTTTAATTCACCTGAGAGCTTACTAAGGCGAAATAGGAATGCTAAATTTTACAGTTAAGGCTAGATGGGAACAAACCTATGTGTTAACACTTAAATTATAAACACATATTAAAAATAATTAAACTCTGGAGGCGAATGTCACGAAACACCTTTGATAGACAAGTATTTCTTCCAAGGAATGATGATTAATACAGTAAGGTACATGTAATAGGTACGTAGGTACCAAAATCCTATTACGTTTGGGGAAATAAGGCAGCACATCCTGAAAAAAAGAAGGATTTTTAGCTCACCTGAGCCGAAGGCTCAAGTGAGCTTTTCTGATCAAAATTTGACCGTTGTCTGTCGTCGTCGTTGTCGTCGTCGTCGTAAACTTTTCACATTTTCATCTTCTCCTCAAGAACCACTGGGCCAATTTCAACCAAACTTGCTACAAAGTATCCTTGGGTAAAGGGGATTCAAGTTTGTTCAAATGAAGGGCCACGCCCTTTTCCAAGGGGAGATAATTATGAATTGGAGAAAAATTAATGGCATTTTTAAAAAATCTTCTTCTCAAGAACCACAGGGCCAGGAAAGGTGAAACTCATGTGGAATCATCCTCAGGTAGTGTAGATTCCAATTTGTTCAAATCATGACCCCCGGGCTAGGGTGGGGCCAAAATGGCCGACCAAAGCTTTACATAGGAGTATATAGGAAAAATCTTTAAAAATCTTCTTCTCAAGAAGCACTGGGCCAGGAAAGATGAAACTTTTGTGGAATCATCCTGGGGTAGTGTAGATATCTAAATTGTTCAAATCATGACCCCCGGGGTTAGGGTGGGGCTAATATGGCCGACCAAAGTTTTACATAGGAGTATATCGGATATATCTTTAAAAATCTTCCTCTCAAGAACCACTGGGTCAGGAAAGATGAAACTCATGTGGAATCATCCTCAGGTAGTGTAGATTCAAGTTTGTTCAAATCATGACCCCCGGGGCTAGGTTGGGGCCAACATGGCCGACCAAAGTTTTACATAGGAGTATATAGGAAATATCTTTAAAAATCTTCTTCTCAAGAACCACTGGGCCAGGAAAGATGAAACTTATGTGGAATCATCCTCAGGTAGTGTAGATTCAAATTTGTTCAAATCATGACCCCCCTGGGGTAGGGTGGGCCCAAAATGGCTGATCAAAGTTTTACATAGGAATATGTAGGAAAAATCTTTAAAAATCTTCTTCTTAAGAACCATTGATACAGAAAAGATGAAACTCATGTGAAATTATCCTCAGGTAGTGTAGATTCAAATTTGTTCAAATCATGACCCCCAGGGCTAAGGTGGTGCCAAAATGGCCGACCAAAGTTTTACATAGGAATACAGAGGAAAAATCTTTAAACATCTTCTTTTCAAGAACCACTGGGCCAGGAAAGATGAAACTCATGTAGAATCATCCTCAGGTAGTGTAGATTCAAGTTTGTTCAAATCATGACCCCCGGGGTAGGGTGGGGCCAAAATGGCTGATCAAAGTTTTACGTAGGAATATATAGGAAAAATCTTTAAAAATCTTCTTCTCAAGAACCATTGAGACAGGAAAGATGAAACTCATGTGAAATAATCTTCAGGTAGTTTAAATTCAGATTTGTTCATATCATGACCCCCGGGGTTAGGGTGGGGCCAAAATGGCCAATCAAAGTTTTACGTAGGAATATATATAGGGAAAACTTTTAAAATTTTCTTTTCAAGTACTTCAAAGCCATGATTAGTGATATTTGTATGGAATCATCCTCAGGTAGTGTAGATTCTAGTTTGTTTAAATCATGACCCCCTGGGGGGGGGGGGTTAAAATTCAAGCCCCCTCCCCCTCCCCACCTCAGTAAACTTTCAGTTTTGATCTGATATGTGCTTTTTCCTAGCCGATGTGGTCAGGTGAGCGCTGTGGCCCCTAGGCCTCTTGTTTTAATCGGAATATTAGTGCAATGCATTAGTTGATATGATTGAAAGCTACAAACCCTTGTAAACCTAAATTATTGTCAAATATTTTATAAAACATGCTTTTTTTCTGTTACATCAACCGGTAATGAATTGAAAATCATTCAATCGTTAAGGAAGCTCTAAACACAGCACACTTAAGAGCTCCAATAATTGGGTAATTTTATGCACTTAGAGTGATCAGCCCTTAGAAGTAAGATTGAAAAAAAAATATGTTACTTTCATTTAATCACACGATTTATATCAGATTAAAATATTTTAGCATTATATAATACCAAAATAGTAATTAAACTCATTATTCTCATTAATTTTCCCAAGGTGAGTAAACAGCAGTGATTTCTGCTCACAAATGTTCCAATGTCTTTGAACATTTTTCCTGTAGAAATAAGGCATGTACCCTATGTCATAACTAATGAAAAAGTATCAATATGCACACTTTAATATGATTATAATTTTCTCCAAATCCCAAAAGCAGGTTTTGTTAGTATTTAGAGCTTCCTTAAAATACCGACTGATTTAGAAAGTTGAAGATGTTATAACTTTTATGTACGAAGTTATAATCTATATGATTTTCTTCCTGAAATAAGAATGTTGCGTTTCTTTTGCGTTTCAGCATATTTCTGAAATTCGTCACACTTTGAATCTGCTTAAATGTGTGTATAATATAGATAGCTGTAATCTGTATAACAACACAACCTGGAAGATAAATGACATCCGTGTAAACAAACCTTGAGGATATAATTGGGTGTGATCTCAAGTTTTTTTTTATTTTTCATGTTTTATTCTTCCTTAAATAAGTGGAAACATTAATAGTTGTTACGCCTGTAAATAAAACACATTCATAAATTATATCGTACTGCACAGTACTGCACGCTTGAATACACAGAAGGATTTAATCATTACGTCTACTTTCATTTTAGTTTCCATGTATTTGACTTGTGATTTGTTCTTAAGGACATATATTATTCAGTGAAGCAATTCTCTAAAATTGGCTAACTAAACACAATGGCATCGGCATCAGGAACCAGAAAAGAATTTATCTTGAGATGGAAAAATGGTACCCTTGTTTTCAAGATTTACAGTGGATCGATCATAAAACCCGATAGCAATGTTGACGCTATCGTCAGCATCTGGGATAGAAGCAAAACTGGCGGTTTTTCAGAGGCAATAATAAGGGAAGCAGGTAATGAAGTTGCTGAAGAGATCAAAGCTAAAAGACCGATAAAAAATAATCAGAATTTGGTCACAAAGGCAGGAAGACTTTCCTGTAAATATATAATTCATTGTGCGTGTCCACGTTGGGAAAATTATGACAGCGGAAGCAAGACACAGTGTCTTAGGGATCTGTATGAAACTGTATCGAGAGCTCTGATAACAGCATGTGAAAGAGGTGTAAAATCTATTGCTTTGCCCCCTATAGGCTCTGGTAAGTATTCTTTCTTCAAATATCTAAAATTTGTAATGTTTCTATTTGTGCAGGAGTAAAGAATTTTCCATTATCCTTTTTATCTTTAACTTCATTTCCTTTCCTGATCAAAATTTGTCTGTTTTCTCTCGTCGTCGTTGTTTTCGTAGTAAATTTTTCACATTTTCGTCTTCTTCTCAAGAACCACTAGACCAATTTCAACCAAACTTGCCACAAAGTACCCTTTGGTTAAGAGGATTTGTTTGTTCAAATGAAGGGCCAAGCCTCCTTTTAAGGGGAGATAATTAAATGTATGAATAAATGAAAAAAATAATGGCATCTTGAAAACCATCGGACCAGGAAAGATGAAACTCATGTGGAAGCATCCTCGGGTAGTGTAGATTCAAGTTTGTTCAAATCATGACCTTCGGGGTTAAGGTGAGGCCACAATGGCCGATCAAAGTTTTACATAGAAATATATTGGAAAATTCTTTAAAAAATCTTCTTCTCTGGAATAGCAAAGACATGAATGATCATATTTTTATGAAAACATCCTCAGTTGGTGGAGATTCAAGTATGTTCCAATCATGACCCCTTGGGGCAGGGCAGGACAGGGCTTCAGTGGCCGAGAAAAGTTTTACATAGAAGCTTATATATATGAAAATTCTTTAAATATCTTCTTACATGTAAGAAAAGCAAATGCTTGGATGATCTTATTTTTATGGAAGGATTCTCAGGTACTGGACATTCAATTTTGTTCAAATCATGACCCCTGGCTGGGTGTAGGGCGGGGCCACAATATAAGTTAAATGTAAAGGGAAATAAAGCCACAAGTAGTCAAAGAAATATGCAAGCATCCTTAGTAAGTGTATATTCAAGTTCGTTCAAATCATACCCTCTAGCTTTTAAGGATTGGTTGGGACCACTATTGAGTTTAAACTTGTTAATAATAAACTGATTTCTGCTTTTTTCCTATCCACATTGCTCAGATAGGCGATGTGGCCCAGTGGCCTCTTGTTTTTCATTTTCAGTTCAGTGTTATGTCTTTTTTTTAAGTTTGTGGTATATTATCATTGTCATTTTCAGGTAAAATTTATGGCATTCCAAATATCGCAGCTGCAGCAATGTATGTAAAATCTGTAATGGAATATCAAAATTTTCTAGAAAAGACGAAAAATTCAATCAAAGAAATTCATTTTATTGATAAAAACAATGATAAAAACAATAATTCGAGGACAAAATTAACGAAATATTTCCTTCACATGTCATTTTTTTCTAACAGGAAAACCACCCTAATCCTGGAAAACTGTATCATGGCCTTTCCCGCCAAGGTTACCTTCCGGACAATGGAGAGGGGCGTCTTATTCTGGGAATGCGTAAACGTGCTTTCGAATATCGTCTAATCTTCACGGTTGGTTTTTCTCGAACTTCCGGAAGAGATAACGTGGTCACATGGAACGACATCCATCACAAAACAAGGAGAGATGGAGGGCCTGAAAAGTAAACGTTATGAATTTTAATAAAACCAAAAAAAAAAAAAATATTGAAAAATCAAAAACAAGTGCAGACTTGACTGTTCATGGAACAATTTTTTTGTCTTTTAATGCTTCATTACTTTGTTTTTATTTCTGAATATTTATCAGAAATATTTAATTTAGATTTTATGATTGTTAGTATTTCTATTATTTCAGATATGGCTATCCTGATCCAGAATACTTGTCAGAAATTAGAGATGAACTGAATGCCAAAGGAATTTCAGAGGAATGAAAACTGATACTTTACCTGAAATGACAATAAAGATGCTGTTTTTTAGGCCATTGGTACAGTTTTGTTCGTTTGCCCTCTAGACTTCTGGCTAAAACTAGGAAACAATTTTTTCTCTCTCCAGAATATTTGCGACCCGACAACATCTGTTTTGGAATTTATTAATAAACACCACCACCCACCGCTTTTAAAATAGATGTTAAACATTGAGCATTTATGTTGAAAATCCATAGGAAAAAAAAGTTCACCTACCTATACTAATGGCCCATTTTTTCATCCTGAGACTTGAGAGGGCAAACAAAAAATATTTTATTGAAGATGGCTTATCATTTACATTTCTCCCTAACCATATACTCCTACAATTTTGCTTCTTTTAATTATTCCACGATACTATTTTCTAAAAAAATTGATTTTTTTTTCGATGTTGCATGCAAAGAGGCCGATATTATACCAATATTTTAACTAGTCATCTTTAGATATCCATGCCATTTTCTTTTTATAAGCTATACTTAAGTCGTTGACATTCAATATATGATTTCCTTGTAAAATCCTTCTTTATGCAATTATCTGTTCAATGAAACTGTAATGCAAGAAAGGTAGATTTTCCAGAAAATTTGAGTGTAACCCAAAGTCAATGTACCCTCTCCATGTCCGTGTTAATGAGAAAAACGTTTCTATGTTGTAGTTTTATACACACAGAGAAACTAAAAGTCAGCTCCTTTAACAGGTCGAGGAAACTATTTTCTGTGACATTGGAATAAATTTACATGCTAAGTGAAGAACCAACGTGACTGACTTATCCACCAATCAACTCAATGAGTTGCATTATGGGTTCCTACAAAAATACTACATGTGTGTTTCAAAAAGCCATTTTTTAAAATCGCTCTCGGAGAGACGTGATGCAATTTTCCAAGCATTTTACACGCTTAATATAACATGTACATTATTATCTACTAATCCCATGCTCACATTTACAAACAAATAATTAACAATGATAAAAACTAGGTTATTCCCCACTCCAATGTACAAGTCCATTTACAGCTTTCCCCATGCAGCGAAAAGTCAATTTCACGTGGCTATTCATCGGTAAAAAAAAGCTCAACTCTGAAGGCCGGTATACACGATAAGATTTGTATTATAAGATTTGTATTATAATACAAAATCTAACAGTGTATACATTCTTAATACAGTGTTTCATAAGATTTTTCTAATCTTATAATACTGTATTAAGAATAGAGCAATGCTCTATTTCCTTATACAATTCTTAACTCACCTTTCACTTTCAACCAATCAAATGTACTTCCATTGGGGGTCATCCTATTTATATTATTACTAAATAAAACACATGGCAAATAATAATGGTCGACTTTTTGAGTAAAGATATCGAAAAACTCGTGGTTTTATGGGAAGCTTAAGGGTAAGAGGACTTGTGGACTATATCAAGCTGTAGCTACCACAAATAAAGATGCTAGAAGCAGAGCTTATTATTTTCATTTTTATTATTTTGACATAGAAAGAAATATTGGAGGAGAAAACACGTGGGAATAATAGTTTATTTACAATCTTATAAGATATGTATTAGCGTGTGTACGAGAAAGTATTATAATACAAAAGCATTATAATACTTGTATTATACTACAAATCCCATCGTGTATACCGGCCTTGAGGTGTGCTCACGTATTCACAATGTTTACAACTTCGAAACATACATTATGCTACTCAATACACGTTCTATGATTAATGCACATGGGAATAAATATAGAGGTAAATTAAAAAAAACGTGCAACTCAAGCCAATTTTGTAAATGCATGAACCTTAAATTTCTAGTTACAAATAACTGAGCAACAATTAACTAATTCAACCAGTTAAACGGCAAATTTACGATTATCAAGTACTGGAGTCCTTTATTTCTTACTTATGGAGCCTTTGTGAGCGGTATTTCAAAGTACTATTTAACAAGGAAAACTGACTTTGTTTGTTAATGTGAGCATGGCAATTCTTGATTAATACCTATTCTTCGTATTTTTCCCAAACACGTTTCAAAAAATTGTAAATTGACTTTCCAGCAGTCATTTGAAATCGCATCCTAAATTTCCCTTAACTCACGTGTTTGTAATAAAAATAAACATGTAGTAGACCATCATGCTTTTCGGCTCATTCACTGGATTGGACCATCGTTTGTTGTGAGCACCTTTGTGCGCAATGACAAAAATATCCATATAAGGTACTTTCCTAGACCTGTTTCAGGTTTCGTCAAAGTTCAACATGTTTAAATAATTATTTTTACAATAGCTCCAAAACTATATGTGGTATAATGTCAAAATATTTACAGCTTATAAACATATCATTGATTGATAGAAAGAAAGATCACTTGATAACAAATATTTTAAAAAAGACATTTTTTGAGAAAAAATTGAATCGGAAAATGTGCATATTTAAAAAGAAATGCACCTGCTTAATTCTGTCCTTTTTGAGAAAACAATCATTGCAGAAATGATAATGTTTATCATTGAAGGGCAAGTTGGACGTGAATGGTCTCTGAAAGGCTGTTATTGAAAGCAAGACCCCTGTAGAACCCGCCATTTGTAATGTACTTTCGCTTTCATATCTTAACATTTGAACAAAATAAACAAGGAAAACAACTTTCCAGAGGCTATCCACATAGTCTCACATACCTCACATAGTTTTGATTTATTGTAAAAATAAATTTTTTGACATGTTGACCTTTGACAAAACATTGATAGAAATCACAGCATACAGGTAAACTTTTCAAAAGTAAATCTAACGGTTTTTCATTGACTGGAACTTACTTCAATGTACATTTTCTATTTTGAATAATGCTATCCTGTTCGTATCAATAAATTCATAGACATACAATTGATTGAAAAGAATAATTTTATATTTAATCAATAAACAGACGTTGACGTTTAAGCATTTTATTTTACAATTTTACAATGAATCACACGAGATAACAAATACAGCTGAAGATCTGACATATATTGGTCATCTTCATATCTTCACACTTAATTACATTTTTAAAGTATGTCTGCAAGGGAAAAATGTCAAAGGTAGGACCCTAAGAAAGATCTTGCAACAAGGAACACACCTATGAATGTGAAAGCTATAGCCCCACCCACTCAAAAGTTTTTGTCCAGGTTGAAGATTTTGCGGAAAGACAAACAGATAAATAGACGGTTGAACATGACAAAAACTATATATCCCCAAAATTTCAATTAAGGAGCATAGAAATATTACTTTTCCATGAGCTATGATATTGAGAAATAGTCTCATAAAGGGGGTTTCTCCTCGCCTTGTACACCCTCTCTCTTTACAATATAGCGGCTCAGTTCAACATGTTCAAGAAATGTAAAATTATTGCTACCCTGCATTTTCAAATATTTTTTATGATTAAATAATCTGTGTTTCTCTTTTTCATCAATCATAAATCGGTAAAAGTATGATACAATAATACATGTACATGTACATGGACCATTGGTCTAAATCAGACAAGTGAATTTAAAATATGGGAGCCATCCAGAATCTGGTTCACTCTTTTTGTTCGATTCTATGATAATTGACATCGTAAACGGCTATTCAACCTTTTGTAAACGTTAAATTCAGCACGTCAGTTCAAATAAAAAAGTCTATGACCTATCTTTTCGTGAAATTGCATAATTTCCAAAATTCCAAAGTCTTAATTTTCTTAAAAGGAAAATGGAATAAATTACTATCTAGAGTAAAATTGATACACGGTAAAACCTTGGAGTGAAGTACACATGTAATAGATTCAGCAATGCAGATCACTAAAATATCTATTACTTTTGATTTTGACGTGCCATTTATTCCGGTATAACATTTTTGTATGTGTTTCATTAGATACATTGTAGATTAGAATAGAAATGGAAAAACATTGTATTACGAAATCAATATCATACCCGGTAAATTTCAAATTTATAACTTGATATAGCAATGAATTTAACTGTAATTTAAAATACATGTTTGCTGCTCTTATCATTTTTGGTGTTCCAATACAGATTTAAAAAGACCAGTTCGGCTAGTTTTTCCAAATATGAAAACCATATTTTCATATGAACATGAATAGAACACTTACGTCCATGAATAATTAAAAATTGTTCAAGGTAATGAATTAAGTACTTACTAAATGATTATGGATCAAATAGATAAGTTGTCAAAGCCAAAAACTATTTTTCTAAATCTTTAAACTATATGCAGTTTTACTTCATATATTTAAATTCCTAGCTTTTTTGTTCTGATTCGCACATGAAAACATAAAACAACAGAAAAGTAAATACTGTTAGATATATACATGGCCATTCAAGATCATAGAGCGAGAAAAACCAAGCACTGGCTTATTCATCGTTCCTTTTCTCTGCTAAAAATGATTTCAAGGGAAAAGTTTCCTCTGGAAATTCCATTCAGTCATTATCTAAGACCAACTTGATCCCAAAAAAATTAAATCGTTCGAGCTCTACTTCATTCGATATGGCACCGACTGAAGGATTTGAAATTAAAGCTGTAGGTACTGATAACAAGATGGTCCCCCTCAGAGAGAATGGTGAAATACTTGTTCGTTCGTGCCCTTCGTTCAGAGGGTACTTAAAGAATGAAGAGCAAACTACGAAAGTACTCACGAAACGAAGAAACTCTGCGTGAATTTTTCCAAAAAGACTTAAACATCAATGAAGAGACTGGTTTCTCGAAAACTTATTTGTTCCCAAATACTGTAAACGTATTATATTTGGCTGTGTTTTCTTTTTAGTGCCTTTGGCGGAAAGAAACTTCCGCCATTTCAAGTACAACACTAATGTCTTGCACATATCCCAATAGATAAGGTCCTTAAGAAATACGCTAAATCAAATCTACGCTAACTTGTTCAAATGTCTGTTTCCGCCAAATATCGTACACACCAAATGTAATACATTAACAGTGCATTGTTTTTCATAAAACAGATCTGCCGAAAACGCCAAATGGAAAAAAATGGATAAAACTAGACATTTAATTGACCATTCCTTTGATCAAAGAAATTT